AGCTCGAGTGTCCCAAGCTGGTGGACAAGCCAAATGCTCAGTCTATCGAGCTTTGGCTCGGCGCGTGCGAGGACATATTTGAACATCACAAGGATATGAACCAGCTCATTCACTCAGGAATACTAATAAAACTGTGGCTACTGGTGAAGGGCTGTACTCATAAAACCTGGGGAAGGGCTCAAGGGTCACAAATGTCACACTTTTTAAAAAACCATTTTATTCATTGTTGGGTGTTAGATCATGGTATTGATGATGGAATTGATGGTATCAAGATAAAGTGATCAATGTGGAACGATTTTTGATGGACATCAGTACCATTGATGGCTATGTCAGGATACATCAATTTTAGCCTAATTAGGATGTATACCTTTGCCCTAGATCACAGGCCTACCTAGATGTTTATCCGGGTCTTCGGCCTGAAAGAATAGTGATTTGCCTTTCCATATCTGGTAATAGCTTAGTCATAGCTGTCAAACTCATTGAGATATTCACAATTGATTGAATGTCACATTTTTTGTCACAGAACTCCGGCCATGGCTGGCATGAGCTCCCCCAGGTTTTATGAGTACAGCCCTTCACCAGTAGCCACAGTTTTATTAGTAAAACTGAGTGCACATCCTGTATGAACGACGGAGAAGAATTACGCGACCGCACGAAGGTCCGCATGGCCGGTATGCGTATGGAGGAACAGACAGCGAAGGTTTGGTGGGGCAAGAATCGCGAGGCTCTGAAGGCTGCAACTTGGGACAGCTTCAAAACGAAGCTCAAGGACCGCTTTGTCCAGAGCAATTGGCACATTTTTGCGCTGGGCAACTTCTTCGACATCCACCAAGGCCGCTCCTCGTTTGCCGACTTTGTGGCCCGCCTCGAAACCGCTTCCGATGCGCTCACGACTGCTGGACCTGCATACGCGGTCGATAGTGGCATGCTGAAGAACCATCTGCTTTTCCACGCTCACCCGACTCTTCGTCTCCGCACTTGTGGCTCTCCAAGTTTCCAGTTCGCGTCTATGACGGTCGAGCAGCTGGTGGCAGAAATGACTGTGATTTGGGAAATTATGGTGAAAGAGAATGTTGTCAAGGTGGTTGACTGTTCCGGCGCGACCTCTCTCCCTGCGTCGGTGATGACAAGCACCTCCTCTGTCTCTACCACTGCTCCGCCTACTACTTCCACCTCTGTTCCGAATGCTGCCTTGCTGAGATTGACACCAGCGGAGAAACATGCTCTGAAGGCTGCGGGCGGTTGCTACTTGTTGTCGTCGCTCGCCTTCCAGTCCTGGCTGGGTCAACCACCAGTCGCACAACTGCCCAGGTGACCCCGCCAATGGCATTCCCCCTCGCCACAGTGTCTTCGCAGTCCTCCCGCATCTGGAGTCCGATGATGATAATGGGTTGTGGGACGACTACAACAGCCCAAGTGATGTCGGAACGGACGACTCTGATCTGGCTTACCGTTGATCGCCCTGCATCTGTCTGCTGTCCCTGCCGTCAGCTATCATTTGTTTACCTTACGCCGACTTTAATTCCCTTCTTCTTTCGGGCCCCTTGTTCCCTCTCATCTCTGGCGCAATGGCTGTCCTGCTTGTGGGCGGGTGTTCGAGGATGCGTGCCATCGAGTTTAGACGATATTGTCGCTGGTGCTGATGGACATTTGTTGGTTCTTCATTATTTCTTTTGGACTTGATGAAATGTTTTAGAGGTGGGGAGGGTGTAAACCCGTTACACACTCTTTACCTCTCTATGTCACAGTAGTTACTTCTTGCACCTGTACCCTCAGCATCTCCAGAATATAGCATAGTCTCATTGACTTGGCTGCTGGTCTCCTCAGTGTTTCCCAATTGGCCATTGGGTTTCCACCGAAACCACATTCCATGATGTCAGTTGTCAATACCAACAGAGCCTTATCTAGGAGGTCAATATCAAGTCTCCAGTGTGTACCAAACTCAATATGCCTTTTGGTTTACATTCCCTTTAGGTATTTTGCATAGGATTGGATAGATCCTAGCGAGAAACGGGCTCTGCGAACTTTTCTTAGTCAAGATTTCAGATTGATCATACTCATAATATAATCTGGCATAATATAATTGTGGACAGCACTATAGTCAGGATCCTTACATCAGGTCCATTATATAACACAAATATTAATTAGATGTAAAGTATGTAGGTACAGAGGAGAAATACAATAGGCAGGTATCATACAACACAGAATTAAAGATTAAACTAAGTAGAATCAATTTCAATCAAAACAACTTGAATGCGATGCGACACAGACGATAGCGAGCAAAACAGGATGGAGAGCGATAGCGATGCGATGCAAGACAACGAGCGATAGCAAGAGAGAAGATGGAGATATAGAGAAGGAAAGAGTAGATCTTGGACGCCTGTAGTTCATGGCGAGGCGGAGGCGGCTTTGCGCGCCTTGGCCCGCTCGCGGCGCAGCCTTTCGCTCTTGATGCGCGAGTGGAGGCCGCGGCGCGACTCCGTGGGATACACGCACTGCGATGGGCGGCGGTTTCGGCGAATACATTGCCTGTTGGCGTGCTCAATCAATACAGTAAATAACGGAGCTCGGGCAACGTACTCGCATCGTCCGTCGCCGTCTGCGTCGCGGCCCTGCGGAATCTCCCGCCCGCGGATGGTCCCAGTCGTCTGGTCGACGACAAGCGCGACCGGGCGGCTGCAGGCGATCTTGAGCTTGCGGCAGGAGAGACAGGCGGGGGCCTGGCGCTTTGCGCGGCCTTCGTCGCGCGGCGTAAGCATGAGTCGTTCTGAGATGGGCAAGGAGCGGATAGGACCAGCTACTCGGCTGGCTGGCGTAAGAGGAAGGGGAGTGTGCTCGGGATATGATGTCGGCGGAAGAGTGTCAAATCTATGGGTCTGAGCATGGTCGTTAGATGAAGAGAAAAAGGGCGACTGCAAAAATGGGGCAAATTGGAAGGTGTTGGTCGACCCGGATGCGGTGTGATGAGCCTGAGAGTAATCGGGATATGTTGGATAGGTAGTGAGCAATGGTTCGTATTGCGATGCACTGAAGTCGAAGCTTCCACCGTCTAAAGCGCTGCTGCCTGCCCCGAATTCGAACGAGGGCGGAACACTGGAGCTCATTTTGCGTGGAATGAGCTCCAGGTCGAAGCTGAGCTCGTTGTACAGCTGTGGTGTGGGGGCAGAGATATATTCCGGGTTCCACTCTCCGAAAGGGGAGTTGGCCAGATTCATAGGAGGAGTCGATGAAGGATACTGTTGATAATGAGGGTCGTTCGTCGTGATATATGGGTTGGATAGTGGAGGCTGGTATTGGTGGGAATGGGCGAGCGAGGTCCCTGGCGTCTGAGTACGAGGACGATGAGAAGAATGAGTCTGAGCGAACAGGCAAGCGCACCTCCGATTGTGCACCCCAAGACGCCAGCCCGTCCCTTCGTGCGCTGTGCGTCGTCCGACTAACTGTCTGCTGTCGATTACCATCATCTGGTGGAGACATCCAGGGAGGATACGAGGGTTGATTCGGGTGCATCCAGTGCCCCAGCGCGAGAGCTGAAAACGAAGGGCGGACCGGTGGTGGGCGTAGCAGCGAGAGGGACCGGTGCCAAGGCCTCTGACTGGGCTGAAACAAAGAAGCGGCGTGCTTTTTATAAGGCTGCTAACTTCGTTTGGCGAAGCTTCCTCCGTGGCGGGATGCGCGCCAACGTCAACCGATCGAGTCCACCCGAGAATGGTTTTGTTCTCTTTGTGGATAGATGGCGCGGCGAATCGAAATATATCGCGGGGCCTGCCGTCAATGCCCGACCCGACTGGATGTGGTTACGGCTTCGTCCCTGGACCTGAGGGCAACATCGCTAACTGTGGCCGGCGTGGAGGGCAGTCGCTGACTGGGCAGAGATAAGTGGTCGTGTGGCGCTGGGGGTAAGAAGACGCCGCAGGGCTGGTAATGTAGCGCGAGAAGCACGACGATAGACTGTTCTGTGTTGGCTGACGCCGCCTGTTTTCCCAGCGATGCCGTGTCACCAAGCTCTCGCGTCCGGCTCCCGACCGAGGCGCCAACAAGACGGAGCGCATGTGCGTCGCCATGCCCACGAAAACAAGGCCTTTATGTAGGCGCCACGCCGGCTAAGAGAGGAAGTAAATGAGGCTCCGCGAACCACCACGTCAAGGCACACATTTCCCACGCGGTAGACGGAAGTAAATCGAGTGTGGCGATATCGAGCGACATCGAGCTTGCACCGTGGACGTTGTCAGGGCACCACCAGCCAGACGGACGCCAGACGGAAGAGTCGCACCAAGGCCGGGGCGAATCGCAGAAGCCAATTGCAGGAATCCAAGGACGCCAACGAACGCCTAATAGGCCTCCACATACGATGTACTAGCGTGTCGACGACGACCCTGCGGTTCCGGGCGGTGGCCGTCAAAAAACAAGAGCATCCGAATTAGTCATTGATTGATTGATAATGACAGCATCCGCGTGATACCTCTCGATTTGGGCATCATTCCATCCTCTGATTCCTCATTTGGAAATATCGCTGATCCGCCGATAATGATGCCGTCATGCCACGTTTTTCACTTGACCTTTTCCTTCCACAAGCTCTCTCACTCAGTTGGTTTGTCTGCGAATGTAGAGCATCAGCGAGGCCACACGCCGCCAATGGCCTGCACCCGTCTCATGGATATTCCGCCTTCCTTCTACTCGCTTCGAGAACTTGGCTCTTGATTTGACTCTCCACAAGAGCTTCGCCAAGTGACCACGGGATCTACAAGCCGACGAAACGCAAGGGCAAAGTAAGGGCCGACTCGACTAGTTCGAACCTAGCTTATCGTTCCACAGTCTACTTGATATCTCTCTCCTTCGAGTCTCTCATCTCAGCGCTTGCCCGTTGTCAGCAACTTACTTGTGCAGTCGTCTGACCATGATGACGTCCAGCCTTCCGGCGCCGTTCTTCTTCTTCTCCACCATTATGCAGCAGGGTTGTTCTTAAATCTTCGAGGAGAGGTGACTGAAGGTGTGCAAAGATGCTCTCCCTTCTGCTTCTCACTCACACTGCGCTCTGCGTGGCACTCGCTCCTCAAGGTCCCTGGGATGCCTTTAACTTCGCACCGGCCTCGAAAACGGTGAGACCGGTCTCTGTAAGAGCGGTCCACGGTACTGTCCAAGGTGCAGAAGGCCTGGTAACGGGCTCGTCGTCAAAAGCAGTGTTCACAGCGAACAACTCCTATGTGGTGTTGGACTGGGGCAAAGAGGTAGGTCCACTTATGGTCCGGCGTATTCTCATCCACCGACAGGTCGGGGGCATCTTGTCCCTCACTATCGAATCCGCATCTCCCTCCTCGCAACTGTCCCTCGCCTTTTCTGAGTCTCCTCAATTCATCTCACCACTTCGTTCGGACGACTCCTGCCGGACCGACGCCTCGCAGAGCGTGGACGGCGTGCAAACTTTCCCGGCGCCGCTCGTGCCGGGACTGTTGACGCAAACTGTTGGCAAGCAGCGCGGGGGCTTTCGCTTCCTCACCATCGTCGCAAACGGGTCCGGGGCGCTGGCAATCTCTAACGTTTCACTCGCAATAACGTTTATGCCACACTGGGACGACTTGCGGGCATATTCGGGGTACTTTTTCGCCAAGGACCCTGGATTCCATGATACCGATTTCCTGACCAAGCTGTGGTATGCGGGTTGGTGTTTCAAATATTTTCGTTTGGAGGATCTTACGCTGAGCTAGGTGCCTATACGGTCCAGACGAATACGATTGACTCACATCAAGCGCGGCAGAATTGTGGCCCGGAAGGTCAAGTGTATCCATTGGAAAGAATTCGGCTGACACTCTCTAGGTGGCTGGAACAACGATGCCTCAGGTGGCCCGGTCACGGGCCCGATTTTAGTCGACGGGGCGAAACGAGACAGGTATCGTTGATCCAAACTCTCGAGACAAGAAAAAGTGACAGGGTATAGAAACGTCTGGCCCGGCGACTGCGGGATCTCGAGCCATACGGAGCTCGTCGCCCTCAACGACCTGCTACCTACGCGCAACTCCCTCACTGTCATGTTTTCCACACAGGATCCGGCCACCGGTGCGCTTCAGTACTCGGGCCCGCCCATCAACGCGCACGGAAGTGACACGTATATCTCGTGGTCGCTCATCGGGACGCACAGCTACTTCCTGTATACTGGCGACCTCGACTTCGTTGCCGGTGTTTGGAAGAACTAAACCTATGCGGTGTCCTTCCTGCAGAGCCATGTTGACGATACGGGGCTGGCAAATGTCCCGGCGGCATTTGCGAACGACTGGGGCAGGGACAACGGTGGCGGGCATAACTCTGCAGCCAACGCACTCTTATATCGGGTTGGCACATCCCACTGTCAATGAAGTGGTTCCCGCTCTAATATACTCCAGACGCTGGTCGTTGCGGCCGATCTTGCGGACCATCTTGGCGATGCGATCGGCGGCGAGTATCGCAAGAACGCGACACGCATCAAGACGGCGTACAACGCTTTGCTGTGGGACGGGTCTGCAGGGCTTTTCCGTGACAACGATAGCCCGAATAGTATCCATCCACAAGACGGGAATTCGCTTGCCGTTGTATTCAACCTTACCACCTCTGCGGCGCAGAACAAGGCAATAAGCGGCGGTTTGACGCGCTTTTGGACACCCATTGGGCCGCTTAGTCCAGAGCTGAACGATACTATTATCCCATTCGTCGGCGGGTTAGAGGTATGTTACTTTTTCTGCTCCTTGAAACACCCTTACATTATTTGGACAGCTACAAGCACATTTCATCGCGGACGAGGGCGAGCGGGCCATCAAACTTATGGAGGCCGAGTGGGGGTATATGCTGTACACCAACTTCAGCGTGCAGTCTACCCTTTTGGAGGGCTTTACCAAAAATGGCTCTCTAGGGTGGATTATAAGCTTTCATTGCAGTTTTATACTTAGGCTAATGTATTGCCAGATATCGCGCCGCCGCTGGATACGACTTCGACTTCTCCTATACTAGCCACGCACACGGCTGGTCCACTGGTGCGTGTTCCCACTAAGGATTTCCCATCAGAAATTGAACGGCTCCCAGGCCCTACATCTGCGCTGACGTTCTACCTTCTTGGGATCCAGATCACATCGCAAAAAGGGCAGACTTGGGCCGTCGCGCCTGTTCTCAGCGGGCTCTCTGCCGCAGAGGGCGGCATTGAGACCGTGCTGGGTGCATACCGAGTGAAATGGACTGTTTCTGGGCGGAACCTGACACTGGTAGTGGGGACGCCGCAGGGCACGGTGGGCAGCGTTACTTTACCGGGTGTAGGACCTGTCATGGTAGATGGCGTGGTACAGGCGGCGGGTTCGGTGCAGCTTATCGGCGGACAGCATACGCTATCAAGAATGCAGTCCTGATCTGTGGTTGGTGCCTGGGCCAAAATGTTTAATGTACGATGAGTAGTAGTAGTAGTAGTATACCAACTCTGTGTAAGCTCTCATTGGACTACATTTGCGGACAATGCATAGAGTTTCATGAAACGAAAGCTATTCTGATTACAACGCATAGCGAAACTCATGATTTTGCCGGTCAGTAAGGTCCAAGAATGCCTGCTTCGGCGTCAGGTGAACTCCACAATCAAACAGTACACTCACCTTGTCGACCTTGAGCTTCCCCTCGCCGTCCTTGTCCTCAATGTAGACGTGGTCATACAAAGTAGACGGCGGTTGTGCATCGCGGCGCTTGTTCTCCTTCGCGAGCAGTGCACGAATAGCAAGAAGAAGAAGCATGCAGCTCACAAAGCATGCGATGCAGACGATCCATGGTACGTGATTACGAGGCTTGTAGCGGTCCTAACCCGTGTTCGGTTCAGTTTCAACCAGAACACGGAAGAAGTTCGGCAGACCTTCCACATTTGAGGGCCTACAGCGTTGCCAACACACTAGGAAGAAGGTTGAATAGACAACAGATCTGCAGGATATTGGTTTACATATGCAATAAGAAGAATGGCATTGGTCGTCACACGTTTGGTGTGTCCAGCAGTGACGATGTTAAGCCACGAAACAGCGATCACTGTTAAGATCATCGAAATATATCGAGTGGCAAGTGCATCACGTACCAAATGCTGTAGTACCCCATCCTGTAACCAGCCTTGTTACCAGGAGAAAGCAGACATGTACGGATATATGGCTTACCCACAATCCAGAACGAAAACAGCAGGCCGATCTTGTTGTTCCACGACAGCGTGTTGATCAGCACTGCGCCTACAATGTTTGGGACTTTCCACACGACGGCAGTATAAGCCCGTTGACCCGTCCGAGCGGCAACGTTGACACCAATCAGAATTGTCGTTATTTCGACGGCGCCGTCGACCATGCTGAGCAAGGTCGTCTGCAGCGGCGAGAAGCCGAACGAGCGCACAATGAGTGCCTTCTGGTTGCTGAGGCTGTTTGGTACATTCGTCAGCGCGGAGAAGGCCGCGAAAAGCCATGTTTTTGGATCGAGAAACGCTTCGAGCATCCTGTATGATAAATAAAATGGCTTTCATCATTTGGGTACGTGTAAATCACGCACTGCTCCTTCTTGAAACGCTTATTCTCGATGCCAGTTTGATTTTCTTTGATTCGCAGGACTGCTTTTGCACGTTCGTCGGGTGTAAAGAACCACGCCGTAGCAGGCGAATCTGGGAATAGGAACCAAAAGGCAGCAGCGGTGATGACTGTGAACGCGCCGGTGATCACCATAAGCCACTGCCATGGCTCGAAGTGACCGGTCTTGATATGCAGTGTGCCAAACGAAATGAATCCGGAGATGACCTGCGCTATTTACAACCTATCAGTCTTATCACGCCAGGAAAATGCATCTGTGTAGCTCACCTGCACCATTCATCAAGAACCAGTAGCCTGTGCGGATTGTCTGCTCGCGACGCGTGTAGAACATCGAAGTTACGATGAGAAATCTAACGTGTCTGTGTGAATACTAGTATCATAATCCAAGACACAATGCTTACCCGGCGGTGATTGATCTTGGAAAGGCTGGTGGTCAGCAAAAACGAATTCTTACAACTGCCCACAGACCCTTCACAGACACCCAATACAATTCGCGCAATCAATAGTCCACGAAAGCTTGTGCAGGCAGCATGCGCGCACAATGCAACACCCCAGATAAATATATTGAGACTATCTTAGGTCTTGATATTTTTGTCGAGTTTGACGATTCAAGTACGCACCTAAGCCACTTTGCTACGGGGAATCGTTGGAGTGCGAGGTTCTGTGGTAGCTCCATGACGAGATAGGCCAAATAGAAGCAGGTACTGAGCCTTGCAGACCAGGTGTAAGCTCCAGCTCGGAGGAAGGGTTAGCGGAGTACCAATTATATCTGTGGAGGACTCTGAGATTGGGAAAGGGATGGCAAATGACCTTACTCGTCCGTATTGAGATGAGTGGCCTCTCTACAAAAGGAAGATGAGACACAGAGAAGAGAGACGTGGGAGCGCCGACTTGATTCCGAGAATTGAAGAACTTCCGAGTGTTGCCTTGTCTGCTGGCATGAATTTGGTATATATGCAGGTCGATACAACACTTACCCATGTACTGCACCCAATAAAGGACTACGGGCCCGTTAGCAAAAGTATGCACAAGTGGCTTGACGCCGTACTGCACATGAGCGGGATGATATGGCGATCGATTTTTTGTCTAAGGATAAATCAGCTTGCAGTGAGATGAGCGTTGTGGCCCAGCAAACATACCGAATACGCACTCCCTCCTTTTCATTAAGTGTCTCCGTGGTCGCCACAAGACGTGCACCAGTGTCGACATCGGCATAGGACACAGTGAGCAGGGCTTTCCCGTCGCACGTTGCGGGCTTATCCATGCTTGGGCAACTCATGCTGGCCAATGAATCAGTTATCGCCCCAGAAGACGCATTAAATACGCACTCGAACGAAATCCGCTCTGTTGGCTCTTCGAACAACTTCCGATTGGCTCACAGGAGTAGCGAATCGAGTACACGTGGTCAATGGAATGATTTCGAATCGCGCCACCTTGCGTAACGAATAAGTCAGCGAGGACACGACGGAAGGTGTTAGGAACGCACCTTGTCCCCACTCAATGGTAGACTGCACGCACTCTGGAGTGTCATATTCAAGTTACGTGGCAGCCCCGGGCCTCCGGCGGAGTCATACCGTCGCTGATGGCGTTGTACCCACCACAACGGGGTATCAACCCTGAATTTAGGACAAGAAGACATTTGGGCGAATCGCAAAAGGTCCGAACTCGACATGGGAGTTGGAAGTAAGCCGTGATACCGATTGATCGCATCCTTGCGCGTGATGTGATGTCTTTGGCTTCTTTTCTCGGGACGATCATCGGTCCCGGAATGCGTTCTACGCCAGGCCTGGGCAGTGGGCGGGGAGAGTGGGTTGATCTGTAAGCTTTCACCTGAATTACTCATAGCGCGTTAGCGAAAACAGGAGAGGTCGTGGCGAAGCCTCCGAGGGGGTGCCAGTGTGTGTGTTTGTGAGCGATGAGGGCGATAATTAGAAAGAAAAGAACTGGGTGCGTGGGTCGTTGGGTCCTGCAGCTATCAATGCTCGAGATTTTTTAAAAAAGTAAGTACTCACTTGAATTGACCTACATAGGTACTTATTCAAGTTTCCGCACAACGTGCGCTTTCCACACCTGTCCACGCTCGAAATGACCTCGCCCGAACTTATCTTTCCCTACAAAAGTGTACCACAGTTGTGCTGTATTCTGTCAAAATTTATTCCCACTAACCTGCGCAATCGAAATCGTGTGATTCATAGGCTATGTAGCGATGGAAAACGATGGTGTCGCTATTACTGTATCTGACATCCCTAGCTTGTCGACTCGGGACTGGCGTCACGACAGATTTCTGGCCATGGCATCTAGTAAGTTTCCGCCAGAATAGCAAAAACGATGACACACGAGTGAACAAAGTCATGAAGAAATCCTCAACCCCACTCCCGTCCAGCGCACTCGTTTCGGTGAAAATCATATTGCAACGCGCCGCCAGCTCGGCGCCTTCCTCGGTGGAGACTTCTCGCTGGGCCTCGCGGTCACTCTTGTTCCCAATGAGGTAGAGGCGCACTGGTATCGGGGACTCGCGATCGGAGCCGGGCATGTTTTCCGCTACCTCCCGAAGCCAGGTGCTCTCAATGCTTGAGAAGCTGCGCCGTTTGGAAATGTCATACACCAAACAGATGCTCCATGCGTTGTAGTAGAAGCTGTTTTCAAGGATAAGTATCACATATGTCAGTTACTACGTGGAGCCTACCTCCCCAGGAGAAATCTGCCAGAACTGAGGAGGGATGGGTAAATGGAACAAGAAAGCCAGATATAATGGATCACGCACCTCGGACGCGTGAAGATCTGTGCCGCTATGCGCTCCCCCTCAATATCAAGGGGCCGGACTGCGAAACCGACACCAATCGTCGGACGCTGCGTGGGGTCAAAGACGTTGTCGATGAAGCGCCGCATGACTGCATCCAGAATGGTGAGCATGTCCAAGCTCAGGATAAACGGTACATAGAACGTACGGGATCTGTACGGAGACATCGTGAATCGCTCTGACTTTCCGCGCTATGGCTGGACTTACGCTTTTCCAACGTCTAGGTCACCGACAAGACAGATCTGGAGGTCGTAAGTCTTGAGAGAAAGTGTCATACACGAGGCACGGACCTTGATATTGCGTGTTTCTTGCTCTTGAGAGGACATTGCTGGACGTGAGACGCCGGGAAGAAGAAAGGAGGTGGCGGCTGTGACCACTGGCAGTGACCAAAAGAGTGACGCCAATGACGCCTGCAGAAGAGGCTGATTCAAAGTCGAGTTTGTATATCAGCATTGAATCTACAGCAGGAAGCTTCAGCAACAAGATGGGCAGTTGGCCGGCTCGAAGCAATAACCAGAGGCAGTCGTGGGCGAAACGAGAGTAGCCGCAGCGGAGACGAGATACGCCACACTCGGAGCCGGTGCAGCGGCAGAGCCCTATGCATTCACCGTCGTTGGTGTCCGCGCGTAGTGGATGGTGGCGATCGGGAACAACCATCGTCTGGCCGAAAAAGGAAATCAGCTCTTCCCTTCCTCCTTCATGTCGGCCTCCCCCGTCACTAACACGCAACACCCTCTCCACCGCGTTGCTCTTGGATGAGCTTATAAACAGGCTTGACCAGAGCCTCAAGGTCGATGATGTGGCACCGCTGCCAACACTGACAACGGGAGGCGGGTGGATAGGGCTGGCTGGGGCAGATAGAGTCATCTGAGGGTGCTGTGCTGGGGCTTATGGGACGATTTTCCGAGCTATTGTTGCTCTCAATGGTGCGTTTTATGCTGACTGATACATACACTCACTCACCAGATTGCTTTTCGCAGGCAGAGCTCTCCTCCGCCTCTAGTCTCTCCACACACACACTTCTTCGCGCATATACCATCCGCAAATAGGGAATCGAGCAACCATTCCCACACGTAGACGACGGAACGGTGCAAGGCTGGAACTCGGTTGTTTTGGACCATGACCGACTCAAAATGACTCCTGCGTTGGGCTAGAGAAGTCCATGCGTTTTCAAGCTAAATGGATTCCTTGTGGCGAATCTCGACAATAGTTGGGAGGTTTTTCAAGTGCGTTTTTAGGCCAGCTTTCTGAATTGTCAAGGTCAATTCTTGCAGTCATCCTCAAACGCGCCACCAGCGCTGTATTCTCTGCCGGTTCCTCATCCCCAAACGACCTTTTTCCTCTCTCTCCGACGACTACGTCAGCTCTCGTCAATAATCAAACACCGACTGGCCACCGTTACCGTCGTCTGTCGCCAAATATGGCGCCAACCCCCTGCACGAATAACTTCCCTCGTTGGCCTCTAACACGCCTCCAAACGGCTTCCCGCACCTCATCTCCCATCGATTCATCACCCACCGCTGCCCCAAAACGATTTACTTGCCTCATTATTGACGTCAGCAATGCCCTCCTCCTCCCACATCATATACCGCAGTCTTTCCCCTCTCTGCTGGCCGTAAAATCCTACCAATCGTGTCATAGAGGTCTCTGCCGAAGGCGGAGACTATGTGCGGGCTGCAAAACGCTATCGCAGCCGCGTTCTAGTGAAAACGTCGCTGATACGGCCGATAAGCCTTCCTCGTGGCTCTCAGCCTTTTCCGCCTCGAGCAACGGCCTCCCCAACGTCCATTCACTCCCCTTGACCGCTACCATTTACTCTCTTGCGATTTGACGGGCCCGTTCTCGAGCTTGCCATCCCCTTCCTCGACACCTTCACACTGTCCACATCTCCTGCCACGTTTCTGCTGCTAAAGCCCAACACGAATTTCAGCAGGACAATAGTGATCCGGAGAGACGATATCGGCAGCTGCCGCCGCTGATTTCGCCCGCCCATATCGCGGAAGACAACGTATATTCGCTGCCACCGGTCTTGGCCCCTTGGATCTTAACCAACGCCGTTCCCGAATGACTTTGGCATTTGTTGATCATGCTCGTTTGTTCCACCGCCATTCCGCGGCCCTGTTCTCGAGGTCGTTCTTCCCTTCCTCGCTACATTGGACCTTGGTCCCGTCTACCCGTGTTGCTTCCTCGTTTGTGGCCCTCCTGCACCATGCAGGAAGCTGTTCTTGCTAAGAAGGGCGTCATACGGCCAGCGAATGCGTTTCCTTCCTCGACATTACCATGTCCGGCGCTTTTCATCCCTTTATCCTTGACCTCGCACATCTTCCGCGTCCCTAACCCGTGGAGCAATTTTATCTGGAGCGCAAATCATCATCATTATCATCGTCGTCGCAGCTCTTCGCCGATTATGCCAATGTGTCCTCCCCGCATACTTACTTCTGCTTTTACTCGTCATTTCACTTTCAGCCATCGACTTCCTTGGACTACACATATGGGCTACTTCCTTTTTTGTCATGGTGTCCTTCTTCGGCGTTTCTTCCTTCCTTATTGTCCAATATATACCTATTGAGTACGTGTTTTGTCGGCTGTTCGTTCCTTTCCTTTCCAGCCGCAACACGGAGGGTGTCGGGGTGTCGCCGACGTTGGGCCTACAGTACTCGGCCGATATCCGCCGAGCCTCTTAGCGCCGAGACCAGGAACGAGCCCCGATCGGCTCCGCAGCAACGTCATACTCCACTAATAACCTGTGCACCGCCCCTCACGCGCCATTCTCTTCCTCCTCTCCCCGCCATGACCCATCCGACCCTCCTCCTTCTAACACTCTACTTCGCGCTTCAGCCGCGCCCCGTCGCAGCGTATTACACGTACCACCGCAGCACGGCCTCCCGGATTGTCGGGATCATCTTCGGTGCGTTTGGAGGACTATTCCTGCCGCTTCTTCCCATACACATGTCGCCCTGGCTATCTCGGAGCCGCCTCTGCCCTTCTCTTCCCAGCAGCTAAGCTGACGGGGATATTAACAGCCGTCCTCGCCCTCCTCTCACTGATTGCGTGCTTCGTCATCGCGCGCCGCCGCCGCGCGCGGGCCCTCGCCAACGGCGGCATCATCGGGGTGCCGTATGCCGGCGGATATGCGCGGCCGGGGCCGTTTGCGTTCGCGAGCCCGTGGAATAAGGGCGCGCAGGCCGGCGCGGGCACTGCCAATATGAACCAGCACCCATACTACGGCAACGGTAACCCCCAGCCGGCCCCGCCGTACTCCGCTGGGCCGCAGGTTTACAGTCCCGTGCGTGTTACTTGGCACTTCTGTTTTTGCGTACTGACCGCCAGTTTCAGCCAGCGGGTCCGCCTCCTGCGACAGGCGGCTATATGGCGGTGAGTGTGTGCACAAATGCGGAGGCGTTGATTGACTTGTGTCTGTATTTCCAGCCGCCCCCGCAAGCACATCTCCAAGGGGTGTGTCCGCTTTTGCTTTATATCTGTTGGCCATGTTGACTGGTTTGCATAGGATGAATCTCACGGAAAGAGCGCGTTCCGTCAGTGATTTCGGCGCGCCTCGGTGTATTCAAGACTGGTCACTGTCGTTGTATGAATTGGACCCAAATGTGTATAAATGTAATATTCTGAAGAAATATATACGGAATCTCGGACTACTAGTAGCAGTGTTTCGAATCAGTTGATGTATACATACAGTATCATCATGCTGCTAGCAGGCTCAGACGCAGATATCCCCCTGAACCCCGTTACTCGCTTGGCATAGTAGATGACAACTATGTGTATGGAGCGTATGGTTCGATCCCAACTGGGCCATCGAGCTTCATTGCTGATGTCACACTTTTTGGCGGGCTGCGTTAGATTAGATGATGATATAATGCAACGTCTCGCTGGTTGTCATTACACTTGGGCTATATGTAGGACAGTCATTTATAAATTCAATTTCTTTCATTTAAGTCACGGTATCACATCCTGGCCACTACTTACTGGAGCATCTTTGGTGGACTTCTAATATCAAGTCTTTATTGTTGTCTTGATACTGTCTGGACCTAATGTTTTGAATTCCGAGTCTCAAGGGGGTTCAACACCCTTGGGAAATGTGCCCACTTCTCGGAGTGTCACACCACAGTCCACATGGTAGGAGCGGCTCGCCTCTACTACCGGAATGTCTGGTGCCATCACGGGACTCCGGAGAAGTACGTTTCCAACCACAGCTCCGAGTTGCAGTTTATCACAGATTTCACCAGGAACTTTCAAGCCTGCCACATCCACTGCATACCACCCGCAGACAGACGGTCAGACAGAGTGCGTCAACCAGGAGTTGGAGCAGTACCTGTGGATCTTCACCAACTATCAGCAGGACAACTGGGACAAGCTGATTCCAGCCGCGGAGTTCGCTTGCAACAACCATGTTCACTCCTCCATGCAACAAGTCCCCTTTATGATGGATACAGGATGGCTCCTGCACATGGGCTTTGAACCCAGAGTCCATTCCGCTACAGAGGGTCCGGTATCCACAGATTTATCCGTGCTGGCAGTTATGGACGGCCAGTATATAGTTGGCACCCTAGCAGGCGGACCCTTAGAGTTTCTTCTCTTTGGATCCTCCCCTGCTAGGTTGGTCCCTCCGTGTATTTCCTTTAGCTTTTATTCATGTTTTGGATCCTCCCCTGCTAGGCTTTTGTTGGAGTCTCCAGGGTTGCCCTTACACAAGTCAAGTCAATTTAAGTCAAGTTAGGGCATATTGCGCCTCTCAAGAATCTCACATCCCAACCATCTGCTCTATTGTTCATCTAAAGTGAAAACAGTTAAACACAGTTGTAAAACAGCATCCCAATTATAACTGAGAGCCAATAAGAATATCTGAATCTGTTAGCCATTTCCTATGGCTCGAACCCTCAACACAAACTGCACAAAATTAGGATTTGATTAGTTGAGTGGAAGGTCCTGGTGATCTCCTTGATTGCTCATTTTCTACATGTAGTAGTGGCAGCTACAGATAAGCAGTATATATTCAGCTTCATAGCAGGCAGACCCTTAGAGTTTCTTCTCTTTGGATCCTTCCCTGCTAGGACCTTGATCTCAGGCCTCCGGGATTACCCTTACAAGGCCTTCAATGAAGTCCATAGAAATAGAATACCAAGGGCAAAGAGAGACAGGTAATGGCTTACGTGAACTGTATGGCTTGTGTCAAGGCTTTTGTTGTGCTTGCAAAGAATGCAAGACTGAACATATACTCGGACAAAGGTTTGGAGCTCCGGCCAAGTTTGCTGCACCTGTAAAGGCAACCCTGGAGGCCTGAGATCAATACATTTGGCTATACTAAGATATGTAAAATTCTCAGTATAACTAAATTCTAAAATATATAGTGTGACCACAAGCTCCTTTAATCTACATCCTGATGAATATAAGCCTTATTATCATGATTATACACATCATCCTTATGCTCTGTTGCACTGTCAGACAAAGCCATCCCACAGGCCAAATCACACATAGTGCAGATAAATGGCTTATCCACTATCAAGATATTGTTTCCCCTCTCTGGTCTCAAAATAAGAGACCAGATGGTATGTTGTGTTACTGGTTTGTAGATGACTGGATATTTCTTTTTTGCACCAGCCCTCAGTAGAATGGAAATAATAATGGAGATAGGAGGATTGGTGTTAAGCCACCATGGAACATTTCGGTAATGTAGGGCTGCAAGGAGAGGTGTGCTATACTTCCCTGCAACCAAATCCACCTGTGCACCTGAGTTGAGTAGGAGCTGAACAATATCTGTTTTTTTCCTATATGCAGCAGCTTGAAGAGCAGTTCCATACTCCCCAGCAACAAGATTCACCTCTGCACCTGAGTTGAGTAAGAGCTGGACAACATCTATATGTCCCTCATATGCAGCAGCCTGGAGAGCAGTTCCATACTTCCCTGCAACCATATCCACTTGTGCACCTGAGTTGAGTAGGAGCTGAACAATCTCTGTGTTTCCTACATATGCAGCAGCTTGGAGAGCAGTTCCATACTCCCCGGCAACAAGATTCACCTCTGCACCTGAGTTGAGTAAGAGCTGGACAACATCTATACGTCCCTCATATGCAGCAGCCTGGAGAGCAGTTCCATACTTCCCTGCAACCATATCCACTTGTGCACCTGAGTTGAGTAAGAGCTGGACAACCTCTGTATGTCCCTGATATGCAGCAGCTTGAAGAGCAGTTTCATACTTCCCTGCAACCACATCTACCTGTGCATCTAAACTGAGCAAGAGCTGTATAGTCTTTGTCTTTCCATTACATGAAGCAGCCTGAAGAGCAGTTCCAAAGTACCCCGCGACCAGATCTAGTTGTGCACCTGAGTTGAGTAAAAGCTGAACAATCTCTGTGTTTCCCCTATGTGCAGCAGCCTGGAGAGCAGTTCCATACTCCCCTGCAACCAGATCCACCTCTGCACCTGAGTTGAGTAAGAGCTGGACAACCTCTATACGTCCCTCATATGCAGCAGCCTGGAGAGCAGTTCCATACTCCCCCACCTGAGTTGAGTAAGAGCTGGACAGTTCCTGTTCTTCCCATGTATACTGCTGCTTGGAGTGCTGTTTCATAATGTCCAGCAATCCTATTTATTTGACAATCTCCCTCCAGGAGCAATTGGACAATTCCATTGTTGCCACCTAATGCAGCAGCATGTAATACAGTTCCATAATGGTGACTAACAAGATTCATCACACCCTGGTTGTCCTTTGCAACCAATGCCTTGCACAGCTCTTCATAACCCAGTTCTGCAGCAAAAAATATTCCTGTGTCTGAGCCCTCCACCTGATTTAAAATATATTGTGATAACAGAAGGAGATTTCCTGCTACTGCAATAGATAGAGGAGTCAATCTGGGGCTTAGACGGCACATTCTTTGCCATGTGTCTGACCACCAGTTATACAGGACATCCATCCATACAATATGTTCTAGACATTGAGTCAACTCTGATTGAAGAAATACCTCTGCTAAACCCTTTGCATGGAACAGAATATTCCCAGCATACTCAAGCAGATCATAATTATATATATCCGGCCTGTTCACTAATTTCAAATAGATACACAATATATGTGTGATCCTGACATGTATATCTGGGAACTCAGTGGATCTGATCTGCTCTAGAAAATCCTGAGTAGTATAGTGCACAAGGCGTACAATGTCTGACTCTCTGTCCTGTATGATGAGCCCACAGCATATCTTAACAATATAACCAATTCTAATCAATTGCTTAGAATTAGGCAATTGGGTTGTCTTTGTTGTCATGGCAAGTGCTGTCTGCAGTTCGATTACCCTTAGTGGCCGTTTTGTATATGAAACCCATCCAAGAGCAAGCATTGCAAGTTCTGCTTGATTGGCTGGTTGAAGCTTGATATAATCTATGGTTCTCATATATCCAATACCTAAATCATTTGGCAAATCATTCAGAGCTTGTTCCAGTGCCTCTACTGTTAGAGCAGTACTTAGAAGTTGGAGTTGGAGCTGTACCATCAAGAACCTGAACATATCTAAGCCTGTTGTATAATTATATCTGATTATACTTACATCCCATTGGCCTTGACAATCATCTTGTTAATCACCACCTCTCTAAGATCAATATCCTCAGATAGAAACTCCCTCAGAATTTGATGCTGGTTTATCTGTGTTATAATATATGATCTGATATCTTCTTCATTGGCCTGCAGCTCCAGAATAGCAATAGAAGGCTGGGAGGGCAGAACTAGATGTGGTCTTGACATTATCATCAAGTTCACATTTCCTCCTAGCTGGAGCAATTCTGTGAGTAATGGATGGTATTCACCATATTGATATTCATCTATTGCATCTACCACAATATAAGCAGCTTTGAGAGTAGCAACCAGTGCTGATGTAAGCTGGTGGATCTCAGGTAAACTAGGACGTGTGTGTGCCTTTGGCCCTGTGGAAGTTGTAGAGGTTTCTAGCCTGTGACATATCCTTGTTTATGGTCAGCTGTCTCCAAATAGATGCCAGCAAATTCTTTTCAGTCTGAAGTTCTGTTTCTTTATAGTTCAGATAGACTGAGGCTACTCGAATTTCAGAATTCTCTTCTAGCTGCTGAAGCTGGGCAAGATGGTCTACAACTTTGGATCTGTAAATAATACTTAGTATATAATATTGTTGTGAGAACTGAACAATTACGCAAGCACTGTTTTACCCATACCAGCTGACAACACTACTCAGTTCCTTATCCAAGTATATCATTTGGACTTACGAATTCCTGTACACCAGAGTACACTTCCTATTGTTGACTTCCATTTTAGGAATTCTGGATGCTTCAAGAGCCAGTCACCAGTATTCTTCTTGCGTATTTCAGAAATGGCCTGATGACGGAGAAAGAAGTTGATTGGTGAAATCCATTCAATCAGGGACATGTCTTCTTGGACTGTGATAGATGTTTGTGATTCGAGTTTATGCATATCACTTGCTACACCTACACTCTGTGTTTCCTGCACCATGTATGCTTCAGATCTCATATCAGAATCACATAACAGGGTAAACACCAGTACATACTGGGTATTATCTCCCATTAGATTCAAGTTGATATGAGGGCCATGGCCATCACCTCCATGTCCCCCAGTTGAGCCTCCACCTCCACCAGTACCACCTACAGCAGTCACTAGCAGTCCACCAGCCAGGACAGACCATACCCATGATAGTGACGACGGACATTGCAAGCTGTGAGACGATGGTGGGGGTCAAGAGCAAGATGCTGCACGCGGAAGTCGGCACTTGCTCGATGATCGATCGATATATATTGGGTCAATTGACGCCGGGAATTCTCGGGAATCTGACAAGTGTCCGACGCTGATCTGAGAGTCCCGATTGGGTGATCTTCAAGCTTCTCTCTCTCGCACTGTCACTTGGGCGCAAATAGACCTGCAACGAGCCTCGTGGACCAAACACGCTGTGGCACGCAGACCGACGGGCTCCGGAAGGGGCTGCGAGTACTAGTATACATTTTACTCCCCCCTCTCCTTCGACTTTTTTTCCTTTTTGTATCCAAGTTCTATCTGGCAGTGTGCATGACGACAAAGGACGGGCCGCGGCGTTGTGAGATGAAGTACAGGACAGCGTCGTATGCATATGGTACGTCCCGCCCGTCCGCGTCATCAGTGGCACTGTTTCGCTGCTCGCACGCTTGAAGTCAGTCAGCGCCAGTGAACGTGGGAGCGTAGATGGATCACCGTCCTACTCCACGGCATCCCGTCGCACACGAGCATGCCCGCCTGCGCCACCGCCCGAGCGCTGCAGTCGGCGCACAAGGGTTCTTCATCAGTCCGGCCGACTGGCCTGCATAGCCCCGGCCCCCGGGAAGTCGCCGGCCTGGACTCGGAGGGCGGCGCGACTTTGTTGCTTGTAGGCCCGGGCCAGTGTTCGTCACGGGCCACCCGCGGGTAAATCCGGGGTGGCCCCCACCCGTTCCCGCCAACGGCCCGGGCCCGCTTCGGCGGGTGCGGGTACCCGCGTTTTGGCCGACGGGCCACGGGTGGCCCGCGTTGCACAGGCCCGCAAACTGGGAAAGCCACGCCGCGGCCGCGCTGAGGCATTAGATGTCGGCAACGGCTGTTGCTGGGCGTCCGAACCCGCAGCAGCCCAAGCCGACATCTTCTTGATGGCTCGAATGCCAAGTCTCCGACCGGTGGGAAGCGCCGGAGACCGCCGGCGAGGCCGGGTATCCGGTTAGCCGGGCCCGGCGGGCCAAGACGGGGGCCAGCGGGTTTGGTCCCGCGGAGGCCCGTCCTCACGGCCCGTCGCGGGTCACGCAGCCCGTGACGATCAACTAGTTACCAATGCTGACGGGACAAGCCAGCACGAGTCTTACAGTGGCACCCTGGCACTATAAGATGTACTCGTACACGGCCCGTGCTCGCACTGCCAGTGGCATCTGGTTCTTTGCTCCGCCGGCGGCTCCTCCAGGCTGCTTTACTCCCTTCCCCTCGCCGTCGACGCCCCGGGCCGCCCAGCCGCTAACCTGTCCCAGCTGACAGTGGCATACGACAACCTCGAAAGGAAACTTGGAGGAGATGATAGTATACATCGGGTCGATATTAATGTGGACCCTGGATCCGTGCATCACCGTTTTTTGTTTCCACACAAGTTGCATCAAAAAACGATCACACTGATTACTTATTACTACAGTACTAGTTGCAGTTGCAATACAGAGAGAGTATGGATACAGTATCTACTCACTGGTTCTAAAAGTCCTGCACCGCGGCGTCCTCGAGCGCCATCATCTCCCCGTGATCCAGGCTCATCTGCCCGTCTCCCGCACCCTGGATGATCTGCGCGGCCCACGCGGCGTCTGCGCCGGCCGCGGCGCTCGGGGCGTCGAGGATGCCGCGCATGACGGCGTGCACGGGCGTGGCGGACGCGTACGCGATGTACACGAGCGCGAGCGCGAGCGTGAGGCGCGGCGGGCCGAGGAGGAGGACGGCGACCGGGTCGGCCTGCGCCGGGTGGCGGTGCCCGGGCGGCGGCGGGCGGAAGGAGCGGGCGGGCGGGGCGGAGGCGGAGAACAGCGCGCTGTGATGGGAGCCCGAGGCGGATGCGGGGGTAAGCGGGACGACGGCGAGCTCGTCGTCGGTCAGCGGCGATGCGTAGTCGAGGTCCGAGTCCGAGTCTGACGTGGCGCTTACGTCACCCGTCACCTGCTGATCCCATCGATCCTTATCCGGCGTTCCTGGCCGACCTATGTAGGGCCACCACACCGTGGCCAGCGCGTTACAAGACACAACGCCGCGATGCTCCCCCCGAGCCGCGTCACCCTGCGCTGGGGCCCGCGCTGGTGGCGCACCGACGACGACCGTTCGCGGCGGTCCGCAGACCGCGAGTCTATGCATGATAGGACAGCTTGATGTGTGTATTTTTGCGTAAATCAAAGCGGCACGGGCCACGAGCGTCCTACGCCGGCGAGAAAGCCACCAGGCGTCTCCTTCTGCCAGCGCGTGATGGTGCGCCGATGGCAAGTGACGAGTGACGCCCGCCGACCGTTCGCGACGGTCCCGTGTCTCTACCCTCAGGATGATGCGGATCTTTCCTTTTGCCCTGTGATTACGACAATATTATAATATTAGGGATAGTAAAGCAACATCCACTCCACTAGGGCTAGGGGTAGGTCAATTGTGTGGTGACTTCTGCAAACAGATCACATCACTAGTAAAAGGGACAAGCAAAAAGTTGAGGCAAAAAAGAAATGGCGGTATTGGAATAGAACCCAGGGCCGAACGATCGTCGATGGAAGGCACCGGGGCACTGTAGCATAGGCCGGGGAGAAACTTAAAGGGTTAGCTCCTTGTTGGAGTCCGAGCCCTCCCTTGCTGTTGTGACCCTTACTGGACTGATGAACGCCAAGATTGGGACACGTGAGGTATCTGTTGATGCAACGAGCAAGGAGCGGGCTTGTTCCGAGAAGGCTGTCGTGCCAGACACTAATTGAGCTGGGAACATCATACGGCCAAATGGAGGAGGGCTTTGCTTGGGAGCTAGCCCGCATCCTTCCGTGGGACGCAGCTCGGGAACAAGCACTCATCCGACATACCTGGGCAACTCAAGGTCCCGACTTCACAGAATATCTTTGCGCTCTCCCCCCACCAACTCAGGTCTACCTTCATACTCTATTCATGTTGCTCGTACCATCACCAGCATGGGTACCACAGCTGTGTTTTGTCCTCCCTGGCGGTTTCGAGCCGGTGTACAATCTTTTTGTCCACTGGTTCTGTCAATGGGATGGCTTAGGGATATACCTGGGCCCACCTTCTTAAGATCGATGTTTCTTCCTGTGAACGCAAGATCAAATCGACGGCATTGTTCCATTGGATGGTCAGGGATACATTCTACAACATGCAGGACACTTTTCCTAGGGCTTGGTGCAACAAGAGGGGAGTTATGTTGACAGCCGAGGGCGGCCTTGTTTTGGAGGGGGGCACCTGCAGCTGCTGGGCTGCACAGTAGATTAGCTAGCGATGTCGTAGTCATGTGATCCAAGCCAGCTTTACCGAGACTTCCCACCGAGAGTGCTGCGAGTGTCACAGATAAGACCCGGCCCGTCCGCTCTGGCGCTGGTGCCGGGCCATCGCGGGCCTGTAGCACACAGCACGTGACGACGGGGAACATGCGCCCCAGTAGGAGGAACGCACAGGTGGGAAGCACGTGACCGAGAACGACGCGTCGAGCCGTTGCCGAGCCCAACTCGACATAAGGGGACTGGGGAGGAGTGCTAGGCGGTTAGGAGTAGCGCCTGGCCTGCAAGAAATGTACGATCGTCCCCTCTGCGGCCAGGAACGGGGGCGAGGAGGAGCAGGAGAGGCCAGGGTGTCTGATCACCCCCCTTTGTGGGCCCGCGTATATACTGTAGTAATTAGACCATAAGTTCGAGTAATGTGTAAGAGACCTACCTGAACTGAACTTCTGTAAATGTGTAATGTGTAAACATGGAAATTATGCATCAAAATCTGCCAAATTTGACAGATATCATCAAAAATCTGCGGCCGGCTATCGCCGGCATACCAAATAAGGAAATTGATGCGCTGATCATCATTGATGAACTTGATTGTAAATGAAATAAATGTGTAATGCGTAAGATGGTCTGAACTTAAGGTCTAATTACTACAGTAAGGCGCGATAGTGTACCCTGTACTCTATTGCTTAGATCGTCTGAAGAACTACCTTACTCCGTGCAAGGAGGCGTTATCGACTCATCGGGCTCGACACGACCCGATTCGAACCTTCGACCACCGACAGCGACAAGGGACCGAGTTCACGCGTTCTTAGGAGAGGTCCTTGCACGGCCCGACCCGCAGTCTGACAGCGAGCCTCTTGGGCATCTCCAGCGAGCGGGTGTCAGGGGAACCCCCGCTTCCGCCTCCTTCGGACCCTCCGAACGCATCCGAGGCACATCCAACCGGCACCCCCTCGGACGCTCCGACCCACCCCGACCATCATCCACGGCCTCCTTCGCCTGCACAATCACCGATCCGTCAAGACCCTCCCAACGGTCACCTTGGGACAGAGCCTGCGATGCCGCTCAGGCCTTCTGCGCTCTATGTCGGCAGTTACGGACACCTGTTTAGCCCACAAAACACTGTGAGTTATAAGGCTCAGTATTTTCAGAACATCCCCTGAGGTGAATAATTGCTGGGAAGAGGGGTGAATAAAGTTGAGCTCTAAGGCAAAATTCGTACCAAGTCCAGTATGTAAGGGGTGAATAAAGGTGAATAATACAATATAGGTTATCCAAACCAAGTCTCCCGGAGGCACACTATATGACAGGTGACACAGCGTCCTAAAAAGGAACTTTCATCAATAGAGATTGGAGTTGGTAGTTTTAGTGGCTATGTCATATGGTTATATACTGTAACATAGAGTGATACATATAAGAAATTTCCAAAAAAGGAAATTTCCACAATTATCGCAGAATGTCACAAATTGTCACAAAATGACAGTTCTCTATTTTGACTGTACAAACAACTTTTATTAAGGGTCTGAAAATACTGAGCCTTGTCAATGGCACCCCGGCGGGTTACCACTGATAACTTACAGTGTTTTGTGGGCTAAACAGGTGGTTACGGACGACCAGTATATAGTTGGCGCCCTAGCAGGCGGACCCTTAGAGTTTCTTCTCTTTGGATCCTCCCCTGCTAGGTCGGTCCCTCTATGTATTTCCGTAGCTTTTATTCACGCTTTGGATCCTCCCCTGCTAGGCTTTCGTCGGAGTCTCCAGGGTTGCCCTTACAGTGGGGTAGATCAAACCTGCTCCTCCTCGCCCCCGTTCCTGACTGCAGAGGGGACGATCCTACATCCCTTTCAAATGTCATGGATAAGACCTGGCCCATCCGCTCCGGCGCCAGTGTCAGGCCGCCAAGGGCCTGCAGCACGCAGCATGTGACGAATCACAATGGAAAACAGGCGCCCCAGTAGGAGGAACGCACACATGATTTGATTACTAGCTACCAGTAATTACTCTTAAATCAAGCAGATGCTGTGTGAATGTATGTGCATGTTTGGCACTGGTCTTAACAATGTCTTTTTCTTTGCTCCACATTTCCATTTTTTGGCCACTGCTGTTAAAGCCCCAAATTGGTAACAAAAGCTGTGAAATATGACCAATCCTAATCAGAATACAAAACTGTACACTCCTGCACCTAGTACCATAAAAACACTATATCTAGAGCTATTTACTATACTCAAAGCTATGTGTCTACTAAGTATTCTCAATTTTCCCATGAATCAATAAGTAAGTATATAAATTTTACTGACTTAGGTTGATAATAGTAGACGAGATATATAAGAGGGTTATTGTACACCTGTATGTTATTCTGCAATTAGTTGGATTTTTTCATTTAGAAATTCACCTTAATCAAGTAATATCCAACGCTGGGGCAAATACACTCCGGAGTTTACTGTGAATTCAGTGCCTAAAAGTTGGTCTAGTTTTTGTTCAAATTTCATCTTTACAGAAAAAAAAAATAGTTTCCCCAAAGTGAAACTAGTTTACAGTTAATTTTTGCTTTGCGAAAACCATGTGTCTTATGTCAGCTATTTTTTTTTTTGCAACCTCAGTATTCAGCCACAATTGTCAACTATAATTTATGTAATAATGTATGTTTTATAAATATAATTTGGGCTCATATGCTATAGCTACAATCCAGTCTTTCACATTATATGATCATTTCTATGAGTAGTAATATAGCTATAAAATTGATTGGGAGTAAACAATCTATTATTGATTTATTATGCAGTTTGGACATGTCTTTGGATGCAAAGGCAACTGTTTATCCATCAATGTTTTGTGAGCAATTGCAACACATTGGGAGCTTCTCAGCCATACTCTTCACCTGAGGTGGGCAACACTGCTAGCGGCAATTTTCCTTTGCAGGTCCATTTGTCTTACCCCTTCAAGTTCGTGGTTGCGGCGCGCTGGCGCTAAATTTGTCATCGTTGTCGTCAAGTTGTTCCGTCGCCACGGCGGCGTCGTCGTTGCCGTGCCCAAAGTCACTAAAAAAAGAAGGGCACCGCCTTCTCTCGCAGGTCACACCGATCACCGCGTGGAGCCACATCACATCAATCTATAATTACGTCGGTCACTTGTATTCCTGTCGGTCGGAACTCGCCACTGCTGCGCAGCACCAAAGAAAGCACAGGAGCGGCAAGCACTCCCCGTCCTGCGAGGTACAGGCCTGTTTACGCCTGCCAGCAATGCATATGCGGCGCGCGCGCAGTCGTTCTATAAATACTCGGCTAATAAGGAGCAGGGTCCATGACGGCAGCTGATCAGACGTGTGACGACTCCCTAGCCGACCCAATTCAAAAGGCCCGTCACGTATCACGTCACAGCACAGCCCTTTCCTTCTTTTCCTCTCCTCGCTTTTCCCCCTCCTCACAACCCACCCACGCAAAACGCAATGTCGGCCACTCTTTTGTCCCTCACCCTCCTCGCCACAAGCGCCGTCGTCCGCGCGGACTACTTCTCGACGAACCCCCTCGTCAACAAGGACGTGCCCTATGACAAGATCGTGAGTCGGCCATCTTCCTCCGTCCTCCGTCTGCTTGGCCTCCGTCTTGGGGGCTTGGGCTGGCTGGGCGGAGCTCTGGCTGGGCGTGGCTAACTTTGTTGCAGCCTTACCAGGTCATGACGGACCGCGACGACCCGCGTGGCTTCCAGACCGGCTACAACCAGTGCAACTCGACCACCGAGAACCAGCAGTCGATGTGCCAGACGATGTTCGTCAACCATATCGACGGTACGTTGCCCTCGCCCTTGTTTTCTTCTTTCCCGCCTGACACGTATACAGACTTCTGCCTCTGGGCCCCCGCCGTCGCCGGCCAGACGTAAGTCGCGCCCGCTGTCATCGCCATGCCAACGCCACTAACGCCGTCCCAAGTATCGCCGAGTCTGAAGGCGAAGAGGTCGCCTGGTGCTCGAAGAAGGGCCACGGAACGCGTCTCATCCCCAACGGCGCCATTACCTCCGTCCAGTTTGTCCAAACCAAGTCCTACATCCAGATTGCGGGCACCTTCAACCAAGCCATGCTTGGCATCGGCGGAACCGACGGCGGTGAGCTCGACTCGGGAGGACAAGACGGCGAGGGCAACCCTATGGGCGGCCTCGTCTACACCAACTCGTTCCCCGCCGCCAACGGCAACAACGCGACCTTCATTCAGGCGCGCCACTGGTCCTTGTGCGTTGTTATCCTTCCGCGTGTTATTTACAAGTCTGACCCGCGGGTGTAGCTTCATTGGCAACAACTACTTCTGCGGCAAGGTCTGCGACCAAACTGGCTCCAACCCGCAAGGTCTCTGCAACAACATCTACGACCGTCTCGGATGCGACTACAATGCCCCCGCCAATGTCCAGGCCGGCACCTTCGAAGTCGTACGTCTCTTTTCCTCCCTGACATCCATCTCCCTCGATACCCATCGCTACCGATCATGCCGCCTGTCCCTCATCTTTTTCGTTTCCCGCCTCATATTGACTTTCTTTCCAGTGCAAGGGTGACGACATGATGCCCGTTGGCACCTATGTTGGCGCGGATGGCGCGACCTCTACTTATCATCAGCCCCCCTCGGAGAGCGATCCCATCGACTACGCCCATCTCCCATACACCCCCACGCCCGCCCCCACGTCATCTTGCACGCCATATGCCTCGGCCGCTATCTTCACCGACATCGCCAACGTCGCCGCCGTCGGCAGTGCCTCGGCTGCCCCGACAGGCTCCCCGAGCGGCAGCGGTGCGCCCAGCGGTAGCAAGAGCAACCCGACGGGCTCCGTTAAGCCGGGTAGCCCCACGACCGGCAGCCCAAGCTCTGGTGCTAGCAAGCCTGCCGGCTCTGGCTCAAGCGGCGCCCTGGCGTTTGGCGCCTCCGTCGGTGCCGTCATGGCTGGGTTCGCTGTTGTCGTTGCCGCGCTGTAAAGGGCTCAGCGCATGGTTTTTGGTCACGACCGCGACGCGAGGCATGATACCTGCGATGGACTTTACCCGACGTACCCCACACAGACAGCATACATACCTATTACATATAGACCCGCGCCTTGATAGCTTCTTTTAGTTTTTGTTTCTTTCGTGCTTGGATTTTGGCAGTATGCACCGACCAATTGTTGGCGGAGGCTGTTGGTAGTCTCTTGGTCAATGGGATCCGTTCGTTTACATTGCCCGCGAGTATGGCTGTTCGGTATGCTTCTATTCATATTTGCGAGTTCCAGTTCCATCAACTTATGTATGTTGTGGCGGGTGATGTTCGATTACTATAGACATATTGTAGATTGTCATATAAGTATCTGCTACTATCATCAATGCATCATTGTTATATTGAACCCAACAAAATGCAAGAGCAAGGCAGAGATGCAGATAATAATGGCAGGTTGTATCCAACTACACTAAAAAGGATACAGATCTATACAAAGTTCCACATCACTTATTTTTATGCAAAACTGATCCCATAATTCACACTTTTGTAGGATATCATTACTGTATAAGGCAGAAGGAAGATCAGCGACCCTTGGAATATATTGCCAATACTTATGATGGGCTTAGAGAGCCAGAATCACAACTCAGGGAAGAAGAGGAAATAAGGGGCCAAAACAACCACAACTGGAGCTCTTGGTATAAGCATAAGCAGGCAGGGCTAACCAACCATGTCTGTTACAATCACAGGCTGTGCCACCAACACAAGACCATTCCCAACTTGGGCCTGGCATAAACAGCAACCAGGTACCAGAACAACAAGAAGAAGAAGGGGAAAGACCAGAGGATGTTAGGCTTCAGGTCCAGCCATGCAAGACTTCTCCTGAGAGCCCGGAACAGAGCAGAAGAATCATTGGGCCCCGCACACAAAGTAAGTGGAGTTGGCTTGAAATAAGAGGGCCCGTTAAAGTAGTCCCTTAGCAATGTCAGTATTGGGGTTGAATCAGGTTGTCCTATACAGTTCCACCTATTTAGCCCACGAAACACTATGAGTTATCAGTGGTAACCCCGCCAGGGTGCCATGGACAAGGCTCAGTATTTTCAGAACATTCTCTGAGGTGAATAATTGCTGGGGAGAGGGGTGACTAAACTTGAGTACCAAGGCAAAATTCGTACCAGGTCCAGTAGGTAGGGGTGGATAAAGGTGAATAATCCAATGACCAAGTCCCTCCGAAAGTCCTGCTATGTGACATGCGTGACACATGGTGCCCAGAAGGAAATTTAATTGATAGACACTGCGGCTGATGTTTCAGTGCCTGCACAATGCTGTTTTACAGCATATAGAGTGATGAGTATATCAGATTTTCAAAAAAGAAAATTTTCACCATTTAACAGTATGATCATCAGAGAATGTCACAGATCTTCACAAAATGATGGTCATTTATTTTGACTACATGAACAGCTTTCATTCCGTAATACTAGCAGGGAACCCATGCTTTGCATCAGGGGTATGCAAATTTATCTTTTTTGGATAACAACTGAAATGTCAGACAATGTACAGTAAGTATGCATAGTGACCGAGCTCAATTTGTCAATCACCCATCTCTCAACCTCTAAAAGTACTTACACTAAATGACCTTTGATTCGATTTTGACATTAATAATTGTTGGGATAATATTTAGTGTCCAAAGCAGTATATAGAGAATCTGTTGGATCTATGAATGGTCAGGAAAGAGAACAATGTACCACCACAGTTAGGATCTATATTCAGCATATAATTTGCCTTCTCAACCTTGCGACGCAATGATTAAAAGAGGAATTGTGCATTCCATGTCCATTTATGGCTCCATGATGGGATCTGCATGTTAGCCTTTGTCTCTGAGCCTGTTGTCCTGTAAAACGCTTTAGATAAATGGTATAAATGGGAGCCTGCACAATAAGAAACCTAAACATTGATTGAAATTGTAAGGGCAACCCTGGAGACTCCGACAAAAGCCTAGCAGGGGAGGATCCAAAGCATCAATAAAAGCTATAGAAATACATGGAGGGACCGACCTAGCAGGGGAGGATCCAAAGAGAAGAAACTCTAAGGGTCCGCCTGCTAGGGCGCCAACTATATACTGGTCGTCCGTAACTGCCGACGTAGAGCGCAGAAGGCCTAAGCGGCGTCGCAGGCTCTGTCCCAAGGTGATCGTTGGGGGGGGTCTTGACGGATCGGTGATTGTGCGGGCGAAGGAGGCCGTGGACAATGGTCGGGGTGGGTCGGAGCATCTGAGGGGGCGCCGGTCGGATGCGCCTCCGATGCATTCGGAGGGTCCAAAGGAGGCCGAAGCGGGGGTTCCCCTGACAGTGATGTTGGTAAAGGTGGTTCCTGTGCATTTAACCTGTGCTAAGAGGGTCGGAGGCATTAGGGAGGCAGTTTAAGGGAGTCTTGGGAGCTTCCAAATGTCTATAGCTAGAGGGGGAAGTGGTGTTGACTAGCTGGAGAGAATTAGGTATTACAGGTAACATGATGTCGCTACACAGAAGATTTTTTAAGCAGTAGTAAAGGGTGCCTGTGTACATTGTGCCCTTGCCAAAAAAAGACACAGAGAATAAAAAAGTGTCAAGAACACGGGGCAAGGTGATAACAAGGCACCTAATAGAGATAATAGCTGAGATTCACTACACAACAATCAAATGTGTGATTCCTGCCCTCACCGCATCAAAGCATTTATACTTAATTCTCAACCTTGATAAGCTTACAGTTAAAAATGTATATTTCTGTTTCTTTAATGCTATCCCCTAACCATAACTGACTAAAACTGAAGTTACTCATATCAGACTTAGGCCTCCTCTGATGACTGCAAAGCTATCTTCTTATTTATAACCCTCTACCTTTACCATTAAAACCCCTGTGAGACTGCAGGTCGGGCTATGCAAGGTCTTCTCCTAAGAATGCACACCCGGAACAGAACAGAAGGATTGCCGCAAGCAGAGCGAGCGGGTAGATCAAAACTGAAAGGGCCTGTTAACTCGGTCCCTTGTCGCTGTCGGTGGTCAAAGGTTTGAATCGGGTCATGTTGGGCCTGATGAGCTGGGTAACATAGGCAATCTTAGTATGGGAAAAGCGGGGAATGCTCTATGGCAAAAACCTACTTCGATGAATTTAATTTAGACCTTGATTAACAGGACCTCAGTTATTTAAATAGATTTGCTGCTTCTATCAGCTTCTCAAACTTGCAGTCAATCTAGAGGGGGGGCCGGCGGGTGTTGCAGCCAAATGAAGAAGTACAAGGCCTGATGCGGACCATAAAGCAGAACATATAATAGTCAAGAAATAGGACTGACTAGAAAGTCGTAGGAGGGAAGAAAGGTTTGTTGCCCGAGAATAAGGATAATTATTTTTCAAATAGGTCTCAACCTCATCTAAAGCTTGACATTCAACGAAATATTGACTATAATGTAAGGAGGCTAGGCAGGGTTTTTCTGGTTATGTTTCTAGAGCAATTAAGAGAATATTATTAGTCAGCCTGTAATGTTATTCCTAAACCATACTACGTCCTTAATACAAGTGTAACTTCCCTTCATGAAAATTATCTGAAGGATTAAAAGTGTGACTTCCCTTTTATAGAAAGGTAGTCATAGATAATAGACAGTTTTGCGCAGAGCCACCAGAAGCCACCTGGTGGCATTTTGCCTGTGCGCTGCCCGGTGGCTCCGGTGGCTGTGCTGGCTTTAATCCGATAACCTATCTTGCTTCTTGCTGCCATGGAGCGACTCATCTTACAGTCCTCCATTGGGTTTTACTCATTGCTCCAGGATGTTCTGGAGCAGCAAGATCAGGAATGGATTGCCAGGGAAGGACGCTTCCGCCCTGGTGGTCGGATCAGTCTAGATGATCTCGGAGACGATATCTGGGTAGAACAATTTCGGTGAATCTCTATTTAAGTCATCAACACATCCCACTGTAACATCTTGATCTCATACAGATTCCGCCGCCATGAGATATACCTGCTCTCTGATATCCTCGATCTCCCACCTGTCATTGTCTGCAGTCAGTCCCGTGTCAAGGAGGACTCCGCCTCAGCACTCTGCATGCTTCTCTGTCGCCTTGTCCACGTTTCACGCCTGGTTGATGTGGAGATGCAGTTTGGCTGGGAAAGGTCACGATTTTCGCATCACTCGGACAACAGCTTCATTAATCTGGAACCGCTGGAAGCACCTCTTGCGCTTGATCCCCACCGATTGACCCCCGAGAAGCTGACTTATTTTGCGACGGTCATGCAGCAACGCGGAGCACCCCTTGACTGTGTTTCTGCTGTCATTGATGGGACGCCGCAAGATTGCACGCCCAATCACTAATCAGCGACTGGTCTTCAATGGCTGGAAGAGAATACACTGCCTCAAATACCACTCCCTCATCACTCCCGATGGCATTGTTATCCACATTTATGGCCCGGTTGAAGGCAGGCGGCACGACGAGACGGTTTACCAGCAGAGCGGCCTGAGTGCCCTCCTCGAGAAACATTTTGTTAAACCGGATGGCAGCCCACTGTTCATCTATGGTGATCCGGCCTACACTGTCGCAGGCCGCGTCCTTGCCGGCTATAAGGGTGCAGCTCTCAGCCCGGAGCAAATTCAATTCAACACCTTGATGAGCCGCTGCCGAGAGCCAGTTGAATGGAGTTTTAAGGAGGTGGTCCAACAATTTCCGTTCTTGGACTTCTCCCGAAATCATAAGGTACTCCTCTCTCCTTGTGGGCTTTGGTATCTGGTGGCCATACTCCTCGGAAATGCACACACCATCCTTCACCATCCACAAATTCCACAATATTTTCAATGCCCACCGCCGACCCTTGAAGAATATTTCACAGGTGGGCCAGTCGATGATGCGGAGCTTGATGCATGGTGCCTAGATAGTCCATGGGTTCAAAGAGATGAGCAGCAAGATGATACAGATTCAGATTCAGATGTGTAGAAATAAGCAATATACATGAAAAGCTAGTCGGCACTCTTCTTCATCATCGCCATGAGCATCATATTTGTCCGCTCTGCATCTGCAAGGCGACGCTCGGTCTCCTCCTGGCGCCTTTGAATCTCATCCTCGGCATTCCTGCGCTGCATATCTAGCATCTGAGCCTGCGCCCGTGCAAGCATGTCCATCCCGCCAGCGACCTTCTCCTGCAGCGAGACTCTTCTCCTGATACTTGAGATTCTGCTTGTGGCGTCTTTCATCGACTGCTTGTGCATCTTTCAGGAGCTTGGTGTCGTGCTCTCGACGCGATTGTCAAGCATTTCCATGAGTTGGTTACGGCGGCGGCGCGCCGGTGCCACAGAGCGATCGCAATCATTGCCTGAGCCAGCAGAGTTGTTCTCCTTGTCTGAATCGTCATCTGCGGCATGGCGCCGTCTATACCAGCATCGTCAGCCATATGTTTACGAAAGCTGAAATACCAGTCACTCACTTGAGTGCCGGCGCTGTCCCTGTTTCTCCCGAATTGTTGACCCTTCTAGCTTTGCGACATCTGTTAAGCCACTCCCCGGACAAGTCCACGCATCGCAGCATCACGCATCTCCTTCCCCCCGACATCTTCAACAGCAGCCTTGGTCCGCGCAGCACTCGTTTTTTTCACCTTTGATGTTTGTTGTCCATCGAGGAAATCGACTATGTCGTCAAGAAGCTACGTTGAATGAGTGGGGAGATGGCTCATGGAGAGCGCAACAATAACGCACCTTGACATGCTCATCCACATCCTCCACCGCTCCGGTAAGTTGCTTTGCCCTTGTCTGCTGTTTCTGGAGGCATATTAGCACCGAAAAAAAGCCCGAATGAACGGACGCACCCTGTGTGCCTTGAGGATGAGCCGGAATCGTCCTCTGCAAGCCTCACTCGTCCGATTCACCGCTGTCCCGTTTGCTGTCGTTGCTGTGAACAGCTCCACCGCCACGCGTTGCCAAGCTTGAGCGGTATCGTCACCACGGTCGGCCTCGAAAGGCCGGACAACGTCGATGGACTGGACAAGTGCCCTGTCCTGCCATGGGAGCCATCGAGGCGAGCGAGCATTGCTCACAGCTGTTGTCGGCACCCCTCTGTCGGATGACAATTGCTCGTCGTCATCCTCTGACCCAGACATCCCTTCGGCCTCAGCATCTGGGCTGGACTCGCGCGAGCCACTATCGGACGGGACAAAAGGTGATAAGCGCTCCTCGTCCGGAGTGGGAAATCCGCCGCTGGGGATGTCCCAGTCAGGGCTATGGCGTGCTGGCGGGGTGATGACAGGTGGGTCTAATGACGCCTCCATTGTCGGTTTGGTGGCGGTGCGCCGATTTCGCGGGCTGGTGGGTGGTGTGTGTGGTGTTGGGGGGCTTGCAACGCCCGCTGCGCGTCTCTGTTTGCGTGTCTGTATGGGCATATGGTGGTCGGTGGAAGAGAATGGGTTGATGATGTCATGGCATCATCTGATTAATTTGGCGAAGAGCCACCGGCTCCACCGGGCAGCGCACAGCCAAAATGCCACCAGGTGGGTCCTGGTGGCTCTGCGCAAACAGGCTAATATCAATTCTTCCTACTTCGTCTAAATCCAACTTTACATCCTTTGTTTAAAACAATATTTTACAGTTATAGACGCTCTCTTGCTTAATTTTGCTTTACCCTTCCACTCCTATTTAGAGTAACCCAAAAAAGTTCTAGGAAATTCCTAATAGGGCCATGCCTCTTTTGTTAAGGGTCAGTGCTTCTAGCTTAATGACTTAATAAAACTGTCTAGTCTCTCCTTATCACTCCAAGCTTGAGTGATCTGTCATGTTTTACCTTTTAAATATCCAGCCCTGAGAGAGGCTTATGGGCCCTTTCTATGTTTTATGCTCTCTTTCAACCTACTCCCACATTACAGCTCCTCAGCTAGGGAGAACAACTAGTAGTCATTTGGAGATGCATAAAGATCATCTCAGTGCTAAATATCTTCTCTGCTTCAAGTTATTCCATCATAGCTGTAGCTTTTTGGAATGCCTCCAACCTTAGATTGTTTTTTTCTACAAGATTCAAGACTATATTCAACTAGGTGAGAAAGACAAATCCACTATCTCTGCAACAATAATAGCCTCAGTGTTTATTTAACTGTTTGGTTCTTTCCTTTGCTAATCTTCTGTCTAGAACCTCTTCTTTATTACGGAGAGTTTAGACCTTCTGTTCCTTTGCATCAACACTGTTACATTCTCTAAATCAACATTAGAGCTATAACCCCTCATGGAATTAATTGAATCTATACATGGCTCTCTCTTTTGTGGGACAGAATCCATTTTAATTGCTATAGGCTTATTAGGAGTAGCTACTATTAATTATTTTATATAGTGCTTGAAAGTAGCCAGTTGATAAAACACTCTGGTCTTATGCACTTTAAGCTTAGAAGGATTTGCGGGGCTGGATATATTAACATTGATGCACTATTTCCTTTCTTATGTAGAGTCTACATTACAACTGGAAATCTTTATCAGGAATTGATATATTGTTTCCGGTCCGCCCCGGCCTCCGGCCCGTGATAACAATCTCCATGGGAGTTCCGGGAGTGTCAGCAGGGACATTATAATTATATATATACTGACATCTCTTTTCCGTTACCCCTCAGTCTTTGATCCCATATAGCAGGAGACTGAGGGTATGTTTCTTTACTTACTTAGCTTATATAAATACTTACTGTACTTAGTTACTGCGCCTTCTGTAGCTATCATTCTCTCTAAAGATCCTCAATATAAAGCTCGAATATAATATATAAATCGAAAATATAGTTTTATCCGAGATGACTTGGTCCGTCATAGAGAGTGTGAAGTTGTTTGGTATCCTACAGAAGATATGGTGGCAGATATTTTCACCAAGTCTCTACCCCATGCTCAGTATTACAAATTCTGTCTTGCTATAGGACTATGGCCTAGGTCGAGTGGGGGTGTCAGGAATTGATATATTGATTCCGGTCCGCCCCGGCCTCCGGCCCGTAATAATAATCTTCATAGGAGTTCCGGGAGTGTCAGCAGGCATATTACAATTACATATATACTGGCATCTCTTTTCCTACTGGCATCTCTTTTCCGTTACCCCTCAGTCTTTAATCCCATATAGCGGGAGACTGAGGGTATGTTTCTTTACTTACTTAACTTATATAAATACTTACTGTACTTAGTTACTGCGCTTTCTGCGCATTTACAGATTTTGACAATCTTTACTACCTCCCTACTACTTTCTCAACTTATATCATAGCTTCCTATCAACAATGTCAAACTACACTCTCAAGTTCTACTTAGGTGCATCAGGATTATTTCTTATCCTCAAGGAAATCTTTTACTTCTTTGATTGTTAAAATCTATATCGTTCCTTTCCTATCTTGTTAACCTAGACACCAAAGCTTTAAAAGACCTTCATATACTTCTAAAATTATGTTTCCAATATCTATTCCTACCTGCACTTCTTTGTTGCAAAGTCTTGAAGGCATTTTAAAATGCTTAGCTTACTGGGCAGTTTTATTAAAACCCAAATATTTTTTTCTCAAACATCCTTTAGGTTCCCAGTTGGGAGCCACTCTTAAAACTAGTATAGACGAGATCTTATCAACTTAAGATTTATGTAGAAATAAGACTCAGTCGGGACACTAGTAGTGGATGACTAAAAATATGCTCCGGAGCAATATAGGTGTAAGTGTGCAATCGAGATAAGGGCTTGGCAAATGAAATTAAGAGGGATGTGTGTAAACACATCTCCAAGGAAGATGCGCCAGCTATATGGTTAGCCGTGCCATACTTTAACAATTTACCTTTCTTAACCACGCATTAGACCTTTTAAGAGAACTAGACAGGGCTGGGGCTATGCCCCAGGTGTAAACTTGAATATTACTTGAATAACATGAATTTCTAAATTAAGAACATTGCCACTAACTACAACATAGCACACAAATGCGCAATAGCCTTCATACATATCTATTGTTAGTATATGTTGAGTGCAACCCAAGTCACTAACATTTATATACTTATTTATCAATTTGTAGGAAATTTGACTCTTGAGAATATTTACTTGTAAATAAGCTTAGATACAACTTGTTTATAGTACTGTGTGCAAGTTATTACTTACAGCTTTGCGCCCTAATTAGGATTGGTCACATTCTACAGCTTTTCTTATCAATTTAGGACATTCACAGCAGTGACCCCAAAAATGGAAGTGTGGAGCAAATCAATTGTTAAAGCCAATGCCAAACATGTGCATACATTCACACAACATCTGCTTAATATAAGAGTAATTTGTGGAGCTACATTAGTCTGTGTTTAATATTACAGAAACTGTTATCATATTGACTAACTGTCTTTCTAGTGTAACCATTTTGGAAAACTGAAGTCTTGTAAGTGATATCAAGTTCTCAATTATTGTTCCAAAGCTTGCCAAAAGAAAGACTTGAATCTGAGCCATTAAAAGGCTTGTAAATTATATTATCTAGCCCATACCAGTTTGTTATCTTAACATTTGTCTCTTATCTTATGTCTATATGACATGTCAACTGTCCTTTGTATAATAGATATAATAGCAGCTGAATAATAGTGCTAGTAAAATTCTATGTTTAGTTTGTAAAACACTTTAAAGGTTACACTTATGGCAAAGCTAACGGCAGTTGGAGAAGGGAGGTCCAATAGGAGTTTGAAAGCAGATTTTTTTTGCTTTGTCTCAAACAAAGAAACCTTTGTTTGCCTTTCTACTCCCGTTGGGCCTCTCTTTGACAAACTGCCATTGGGTTTGCACCCAGTGTTAAGCTTAATTGTTTTAAAACAATGATACTAAGTAATTTATAGAAAGGTCTTAATAAGTAGATTCTATTACTATATTGGGATATTCTAAATCTGTTGGTTGTTTCCTGCAACTCAAACTCCTAAACACATACACATACATAAACAAATAGTGGATTAGTAGATTAATAAAGTCAAAGTCTTGATTAAGCTAAGGGTGCTAATTGCACTAAGCACTGGTCTTTGGAAGAGAAGATGCTTAGATGAAGATTTACTTAGATGCCCTGTGTCAAAGGCTTTAAGAAAACTCAGATCTATTGTTCGTTTTTATTAGGAGGAGGAGGAATAGCCTTACTGTACTCCATAACAGCAGCATGTTGGTCATAATGAGCTATTGTTGTTGACTTAACTTGACCATTAAGGTCCATTATCGATGGTCTCCAAAGCCTGCACAATTAACAATCTGTTTAAGACCCTCCCTATAGTTGTCTTGGGACAAGGCCTGCAACACGGCCTAGGCCTTCTGCGCCCAACAACATTACAGATAACTAGTATATAGCAGGCGCCCTAGCAGGCAGGCCCTTCTCCTTAAATCCTCCTCTGCTGTCACAGATAAGACCCAACCTGTCCACCGCAGTGCTGTCGAGGACCTATGACACACAGCACATGACAACAAGATTCATAGGGAAGGTTTTCCCCAATGTAAGTACTGTATCCACTCTATACTAGGACATTGGTTTTCATTTCCTTTCTTCAACAATTCCTAGAGGTAATTAATCACTGGGGAGATAGTAATTATGGTTGAGCTCAAAATCAGTGGTTTCAGTGCTTATGTCATACTGTGTCATACGACCATGCAGTGTCACATGGAGTGATAATCATTTTCTTACTGTTTGTTGCTCATGTAGGCTGTCTCAGGCAGGAGTCCTTGTAGATGACCTTGCATCAGGGCCTAGGCCTTATACAAGGTCCCCACGGCGTCCGAAAGAATATATTGCTTTTCTGATGCTGCTATCATATGCGGATGGCGACCAGCCATCACAGTTGTTCCATCGGCCTGATGGTCTAGTAGTATGATACCTTGTTAGGGCGTTGGTCATTTCGAGGTGGTCCCGGGTTCAATTCCCGGTCAGGCCCGTTGTGTTTCAAGCTCTTTTTGGCGCCCTAGTAGCTCATATCATCCCCCGTACCGCGGCTCTACATAGCACTACCACCCCTTCTTCAACCACAGACACACCCGCGCAAGACGCCAACGACCTCTCAACACTTTGGCCACTAATAGATGATCCATAGAGCAGGGTCCCTCCTTTTCGTTTTTAACGCCATTAATATTATTAGTAGTCCCCTACGCCATCTGGAACACCACCACCTCTGACGCGCCGCTCTACGTCCAAGTGAGTTCATGTACATCGCCTGGAACCAAGGGCCACGCACCTCGATATCCGCGGCCACGATCCAGCGCTCGTCAAGGAGGAATAGGCCAAACTCCTCATCGTTTTCGTCGCGTCCAGCATTGACACCCATTTTGCCCTCCGACTCCCGCGGACGCAGCAGCCCCACAACCTCACGGTACGGCAGCTCTGTGCGCACCGCCTGTGCGAAGAGGCCTGTAACGACCTCCTCGCGCGCGGGATTTGCCGCCAAGTCTAGGTCTAACGCCGAGTACGCCTCCTCATCGCTAGAATACTCGGCCTCATCATCATCCTCGTACGGTTTCCCATTCCCGAAGCACCCGCCGCCGCCCCTCGCAAGCGCATGTCCAGCGGGCAAGGTTACGCATATCGGCACCTGACACCAGCTGGCGCCACAGTGCAGCTCTTCCCCCTCCCTGAAAACTCCGCCTTGTTCAGGGTCCGGATCCGGCAACGCGCGCACGCGCATTACATGCGCCAGCCGTCCGGGATTATCCGCGCGCGGTGCCCAGGCTTCCCCGCCACACGGCTCACAGCGCGGGGCATGCACGTTGAAATCGAGGAGGCGCATTCCGCGGCGCGAAGCGGTGGGCAGCGCGATGGATTCGCCGTGTACGTGTCTGTCTCCCATCATGTGTTTTAGTTGGACATTTATGACGATGATTAGGAGACGCACCGTGGCCACCAATTCGCCATGCCGCGGAACATGCGCGTCGCCCGCGGACCCCAGTCATCCCAATCGAACTCGCGGGCGACGCCGTCAGTGCGCCAGACCGCGGCGAGGCGTAAAAGCGTGCGAACGTGCAGTACGAGCCGGACCGCACCGCCGGGCTCGTAGTGCAGCACGACGGTGACAATTCGGCGGTCATTCGCCTGGAAGTACGCCGCGTCGGGCGGTGGAACCGTTACATAAGGGCCGGCCAATATCGATGTTGAGGAAAGCGAGCATAAATCGGTCGAAAGCCGTGGGAGATAGAGTGTCGCAACGTGTTTTGGCGCCGCGGGGAAGAGCACTGGCGGGAGGGCGTACAGCGCCAGACAGCCGCTGGTTCCTGTGCTGCCCCGGCCCGTGCCACAGGCTACCATCATGAGTCGCGGGCCGAGCATATGACAGTCGAGCACGCCTAGCGTGGCAAACAACGAGTTCTTGGCAAAATTGAGCTCGACAAAGACGCCGGTGCGCCAGTCGGCGAGAACCAGCCGCCAACCGGTGTGGAGATATACCGCGACCACGTCGTCGAGGACCTGCATGCTCATCAGACGCGAGTGCGTCGGCGTGCACGTGAAAAGAATGCGCGCTTTTGCCGCGGCGGGGTGCACTTCCGTCGGGTTCGACAGCCGGCGCGGCGCGAGGAAGCCCATCCCGAAGTCCGGCACGTGCAGCAAAGCGAGCAGATCCTGGCCCGCATCCACCGCAAAGTCCGCCAGCGCCGTCATCGGGTTGCCTAGATCTAACGTCTCCTGTCCGGTGAGTTGTGCGGGCTGAAGCTGGGGCAGGCGAAGGAGGTGAAACAGCGCGCTCGTGTCCTCCAGCGCGAACACGCCCCCGCCAAAATCGTATGCGCGGCCCTCCTCGGGGTTTTCCACATGTATCACGTGGCGTGCCGTCCAGCGCATTGCCCGCCACGCGGCCCGTCGTGCAAGTATCCGCAGAAGCGCCTCCCGTGGCGCTGAAATGTCCCCGACGCAGCCCGGACCGCCGCCCGCGAGGAGGCCGTCCCGCCAGAGCTCCATCATATACACCAGCGATGGCGTCTTGCGGATTATCGCCTCGCCGGTGCGACATATAAGACGGTACTGCACCAGCCGCCGCGGGTGCACAAACTCGCACATCCGCGCCAGCACCTCCGGAGGAACACAGTTTACTGAGGCACGCGGGGCTGCGGGCGCGCAGGGGGTGGTCGCCAGAAGCAGGCAGCGCGGCGCTGGTATGGGCGTCGAAGGGAGGCCGTTCATCGTCGCGGGCAGAGTCAAAGGGTCAGAGTTAGGAGACAGGGTCACCCAGAAAAAAAACGAAGTGGAGCGACATTGATAGCCGTCGATCGCGGATGTAGACATGCCAAGGATCGACCGCGTTTCGGCTGACTACGCACCCACGTGCCAGCGCGCTTGCCGTGGGCGGCGTCGGTCCCTCCCGTCGAACGCGCGGACAGTATTGCCCGATGACTCTGAGACTCAGATGCCCTGCGGCTGGGCTGCGTCATTCGAGCCACGTAGCACCGGGGTGGAGCGTGTTGTGCCGCGAGCTGCTCCTTTTTCAAGGGTACTGGCACAAAAGAGGGGGATCGAACATGCAGTCGGTCGGCAAATCAGGGATTGACAGCTGGTCGGAATCCGCTGGGGATGGCAGGGCGGTCTAGGCGGGAAACGCAGTCGATATGGAAGTAGCAAGGATACAGATGATGTGCTGACTAAGCTACGCGGTCATGCTATGGACGCTGCCTCAGCAGCTCCAGGTTCCCCCCTCCGAGTAAACGGACGCCCTCGTCCGGAAAAAGCCTATCTAGAAAAAAAAGAACTAAAAGACTGTAATGTATGAGAGCAAATGAAGACGAGCGCGCTCATCTTGTCAATATGAGCTGCGGGAGTTGCGCGGGATCGAGCTTCTCTTGCTGAAGAAGTACTCGGCAGCTTGTCTGGTGGGCCACGGGTCCGTCTCGGTCCGATATCACGCTGGGGGACCTTGCCAGTATTGCTGCCGTCGTTGTCGCTGCCCATCTGGGCACTCGGCGCTTGCACTGATAAAGTGGTGATAGCTGCTCCGAGCTTAGGGGTGGTTGTGTTGGTGGAGGGGAGAGAGGGTGTGGCCAAGGTGCAGTTGCTATTGTCCGCAACGATAGCAACTGTGGCTTTGGGTGCAGCATCTCTCATCCCACCAACACCTTTGGGAGTGACCGACAGGTGCGGGGGATGCTCTCTGGCCCGTGCCACATTTTTCTGGCCCTTCGGCACTGGTCGAGGCAATGGGTTCCGACGGTGTTGTGGCGCTGGTCGTTCAGGGTAGCCAAATGCGTTCAAGGACCACCCCGGCGGGCATATGCGAGGAGCCCGTGGAGGTCTATGTGGTTGGTTGGGCCGCCGAACTGAAGGTGCATACATATCCCGACCCGGAGTATAACTGCTCGAGAGGATACTAGGGGCTGGTTTACTTGGTTGCAGTGCTGGTGTATCCACGAGGCGAAGTTGCGCAATCTGGTCATCAATGGCGGGACCCTCCGAGTCTGTTGCCTGGGTTGTTGCAGGGTGAATGTATTCGCCAGTATTGTTGTCCCACACATAGCCATCTTGAATGAACTGGTATTCTTCGATCTCGCACATGTAAAGCTCCCGCAGCATCTCTCTGAAAGCCTCCCGGTCCTCCTCCGCAACTTCGTGGCGGTCGTAAATGCCTTGGAGCTCCTCAAGCGACAGTTCTTCGTACCGGGTGTCGTCAGACCCGGTGAAGTCGAAGGCAGGATGTGTGTCGTCGGAATACGGCTCCTCAAAAGAGCGCCCCACTGCGAAGCTCCCCTGGTCATACTCGCACCCGTCTTCTCGGCCGCCGTAGTCCGCCTCCGAGATATCTCGGGCCTCGTCGTACTCCTCCCAATGTCCTCTCTGACTGAGTTCTTCGTCATCACTGCCCCACGCCTCTGAAACTTCTACCTCGTCTGTCTCCTCCACATACTGCTCCTCCCAGATGTCCACTTCGCCCGGAAATAAACCCTCCCGGGCCGCTTCAGTGTCGTAGTAGTCCTCGAAGTTGTCATCTAGCCCCGAGTTCGCTGAAGGACTGTAGTCAATGTCCTCCTGGTAGTCGTCGTAGTTGTAGGTGTGTGTAAGGGCAACCTCGCGAGGCTCGAAATCAGAGTCCTGAGCAGAGGGGGAATCCTTAGTGAACTACTACAACAGGAAGGGACGCTACAGACTCACCTGAGCAGAGGGGGAATCCTTAGAGAACAAGCCAAGGAGCCCTCTGCCCAGGTGCACTACTATATACCAGTGACCGGAGTAATGATAGAGTGACTGCATAGTGACGGATGACGGATGGGAGAAGTCAGGCATCGCTAATGGACCCTAGGTGAGTGTCGAGTAGCCCTTGAAGCTCCGGAGAGGCAGGTTTGGGACCGTGATGCCAAGGGAGGGGCCCAGGCATCCCTAGAAGGCCTAAGAAGGGCTTCGGGAGGTCCAGGCTGCCTCTGGGCGTCTCCGCTTGTGACCGTGACCGTGACAACCGGAATCGGAATCGGAATCGGAATCGACTCCGGGTGTGTGACCGTGACGTGACGGCCGGAAACGGAGAGGGAAGGCGTGGAGCGGAAAGGGAAGGAGTCTGGTCTAGCCCAAGGGCCGGGAGTGTCGAAGAGGACCAATGGGAATGGCGGCCAGCCATGACCACTGGAGGGTAGCAACAGGGGTCACTCGGAGACGTCCCCGGACGTCTCTAGAGAGGTGGAGGTGTGAGGGCGTGCAGCCTGGGGCGCTGCAGTAGGCACGAGCCTTAACGGCAGTAGGCCTCACCCAGGGGAAGGCCCGATGACGGGGGCCGTGGTGGCGGAGTGGAGAGCGGAGCCATGGCAAGGCTCAGCCATCCGAACATAAGCCCCGAACGCTGACATGGGTGGGGGACACCCAAGAGGTCCAGCAGGTAGAGATCGTAGGGAGACCTTGATAAGTGACAGCCCAGAGAGGCTAGAAGGCCATAGGCTCAAGGTCTCGGAGGGAAGTGGTGCGTCCACATCCGGAGAGGTCTCCGATGGCATTAGTGATCCCTGATGGTGACTCCGCCGGCGGAGAGACTCCCGGAAAGGGGTGGCCAGGGAAGTCGAAGACTGGGGATCACTGGATGTGGGATGTGGTGCGGGCAGTGGAGGGAGAGCGTCAGGGTGCGGAGACGCAGAGACACGAGCGGAGACGCGGAGACGCGAGCGGAGACGCGGCGCTTGATGGGATCAAGTGACGGCATCAGGGTTTCCCCTGACAGTGTGGTTGTATCCATCATCATAAGGGGTGGCATAGCTGTAGTAGATGGCCATGGTGTGGTCTCGCAGGTTGAGTTGCGGTGAAAATTTTTCTCGTGCTGCTAGCACGGTGTCTCGTCAAGCACTCGACGGTCGATCCTTCGGGTTGGATGCGGGGTTGTGCAAAACGCGCACTCTCGTCACCACATGGGGATGGCAGGGCGGTCTAGGCGGGAAACGCAGTCGATATGGAAGTAGCAAGGATACAGATGATGTGCTGACTAAGCTACGCGGTCACGCTATGGACGCTGCCTCAGCAGCTCCACCGCTCGGAATTCAGGTGGATACAGCGGAAGCTCCAGCATCGACTGAGTATTTATAGGCGATTTGCCAGCTTTATATTGAGGATTATCAATAGAATAGACTTTCCTCTCAAGCTCCTGCGAATTGAAAGTATATATATATATATGGAGATTGTAGGTAGCAATTCCTAACTCTTTCTAGAACCTGCATAGAAACTGGCTAATTTTTTACCACTGAACGTTGCCTAGACTTGGAGGCTCAGCAGGACATGTTATGGAATTGTAAGCTCTGGTGTCTTGTAAGCCTCTAGAGAATGTTGTTATCAGGGGAACCTCCACCTTTGCCTTTTTCGGATCATCCAAATCACTTCCAGCTGAAACGCTGAGAACGGGGAGTAGGGCTCCAACCATTTCCATTTGCAAATGTTTGCAAATGTTTAAATGCTTTTTTTGTTTGCTCTTGACCGCACATAGAAACAAATAAAAAACAAACACTTTAAATGGTTTCCAATTTTTTTTTCTGAAATTTACCTTGATTTGATCCTAGGGATGGGCACGGATTGGGCCAATCCGGACGGATACACAGATTGTATCCGGACGGATACGGATATGGGATAGGACTGTGTGGTGACAAAAAGTATCCATGGGTAAGAATTGAGGCGCCGACCTCTGTGCCAGCAGCCACAGAGAGTTTAGACAGTTGGAAACAGAATAACTGAGCTAGTTTAAGCCAATGAACATGACATATAATGCCAGATAGTCCCAATCTGCCGGATTATCCTTATCTGTATCCGCGGATTGCGGATAGGTGGCTGTGCGGATACGGATATGGGTAGGAGTCCGGTATCCACGGATTTATCCGTGCCCATCCCTATTTGATCCTAATTAGGCAATTTTCGTCATGCGCGGAATGCGGGTTTGGGGAGCGGGGGCGATAGGCAATGATGGGTTGGAGAGATGAGGAGGGAGTTGCCGGCCCGAGAGGTCAGGGGCACGAGAGGGAGACGGCGAGCGAGAGGGGATACGCGAGCGGGGTGACAACGAGCGTGGCCGGTCAGGCAAGCGAGACAGCGACAGCGAGTGGGACAGAGCGGGTGACGGTGAACGACGGAAGAGCTGGTCGTCAGGCTGCAAGATGGCGTCGTCAGGCACCTCTGCCACGTCGTCCAGTGGCCCAGAGCGGTATCGTTGACGCTGAGCGGTAGGACGTGCGGACGCGGCTGAAGTCGACCCAGCCGTCGATTTACGTGGGTTGGGAGCCAGCGGGGGCGAACGGGAGGTGAGTTGGGCCGGAGGGAGGTGCAAGAGAGGCGCGATGAGAGGCGCGATGGGTGCTACGTGGCGAGAGAAGGGTGGGAACGAGAGTGACAGATCGTGGGAATGCCCCGCGAACGTTCGCGCGCAATCTCCGCGACGATGTCGCTTAGCTGGAGGAGCCGCGGGGAGGTCGGGGGAGCTCTGAGAAGGGCCCGCAAGCTTGGGGAATGGCTGGGAAGCGTGTCGAGCCGTAGATTTTGATGTCCAGCAGAGATAAACGGAATGAGGTTGTGAAAAAAGTGGAAACTGGGTGGTCAAGTCCCAGAAACACCGAGGAACGAACCGGGACACAACAGAATCCCGCTATATTCGAGAAACGACGATGTGGTACAGAGGAGAGTGACTAAGGGCTGTGACTATGTGATGGGATGATGTAAGTAAGACTCCCAGGCTTACAGCTTGGCGTCAGCTAGTGATTGTCATAGGCCACCTGCGAGAAATTGTAGGGTGGCCCATACCCCTACCTATGGTCGGCCCGTACCCGCAAGCATGGGTGCGGGTATCCGCCTCTTCAGATGCAGGCCTCAGGTGGCCCACGATCCTGTCGGCCCATGGGCACCTGAGGCGGTCAGGTGGTCCTTCGCTGGCGACAAGGAGATCTCTGATGCCTCCTGCACATCAGAGATCTTGCTTGTCGCTTGGAAGAGCGCCAAGCTCTGCCCCAGCTCCCAGCCCCAGAGTTAGGGCTGTAGGCTGTCGCCGTATACTACGGCGTACGGCCCCCCGTAATACGGCGCCGTAGCCGTACCGTATGGCACCCTGGTGCCCAAGCATACGGTACGGCGACGGGACGGCCGTGACGCCGTAATGACCGTCCCGTATACGGTGACAGTCGCCGTATACGGCGGAGCCTCGGCTAGCGTCAATAATGATCCGAAAAGCGGTGATCCGTCAGGTATCGGACCCCCGGACGCCCGTTGCTAGGGCCCAGTCGCCGTCGGTGGTCAACAAACACGGCCTGGCTGGCCTCTCAGGCAGTCCAAAGGCGTTTGGCACTGCCGCCCGACCCGGCCCGGCCCCTCGGAGAAAGACTTTGGCCCAGGTCACACCGTGTGACTGGCCGGCCGTCACCGTAACCGTAATACGGTGTGACGGCGCCGTCCCGTACCGTAAGCGCCTTGAGCTCGAGGGCTTACGGTACGGCGTAGGGCCGTCCCGGCGCCGTCAGAGGCCGTACCGTATGCGGCCGTAGCCGTATACGGTACGGCCTACAGCCCTAGCCAGAGTGTCCAGCGGCTAGGCACTCCTACGGCCAAGACCTACAGGCCTGAGTGCGGGCCTGGAAATTCTGGGAGGCAAGCCCATACCCGCGGCCCGCGGTGGGTCACACCACCTGTGACAATCACTAGCGTCAGCCCGACATATTGTTCTCAGTCACAGGCTTCCCGTGTGTGCGTTCCTCCCTACTGGGGTGCCTGTTCCCCGTTGTTACGTGCTGCGTGTTATTGGCCCTCGGTGGCTTGACACTAGTGCCAGAGCAGATGGGCTGGGTCTTATCCGTGACATCACTCAGCTTATGTTTTATTGTCACACACTCCCTCTTTATTGCTCAACTTTTATGTTTCCCTTAACTATAGTATTTCAATCAAGTGTATGTGTTACATGTTACACAGCAAAAAAAACTCCTTGAAAAAAAATCACTAAAATTAAAATTAAAACTTTCAGCCTTTTCAGACACAAAAAAATTAAAAATTGGCAGACAGTTGACACTTTCCAATTGTTACTTTGAGTGCAAGGGTATTGTGGCAATTTACTTGGGCCACTAGAAATTGTCAAAAAAATTCTCCATTCTATTATTTTTTTTGTGCTAAAGAGCCTCAGTGCTAGGGCTAAACAAACAAATGGAAAAACAATATGACACAAGTTTGTTTTATGATTAAAAGCTGCACAATAGCTAAAGAAAGGACCAAATCAAAGGAGGCCCAAAGCAAGGTCCAAGTCGGCAAGGCCGGCACCTAGTAGTACATTGTTGGTTGATTGATGCCCCATAATGTCAATGATCATTCGTCACGCGTGATGCGTGACGGTGAAAATTTCCTCTTGTCGACCATCTTGCCAGACATCAATGGCTCGGGTCCCCGGTGGCAATGGACGGAGCGGCCACTTCATAGCCCCGTAAGTACTAGTGCTGCCACCGCGCCATTCTCCATTCTCCATCGCAGGCACATCACAACTGCAAGAACCGTGCTGGAGGCACGGGTGACGGCCCCCACAGACACAGGACGTTGGCGATGACGCGGGCTGGAGCTGTCCCCTTGACCATGACGGCGCGGCGTTGATGCAAGCGCCGACAGATAGGGCGAGGGTGTCCGCGGCATCGATTGCTTCGGGATCATGATCTGTGTGGGCCCGCGTTGATTGTCGACGGGAATGAGGGGCGCTGGTGGGCACGACGGACCTTATCCAGCGCTTTAAGCTGCCCGCCTCATTTTCGGTGTCAACGCTACTAAGCGATGTGGGGGCGAGCACATCGGAGAACTCGGAGGCTCGCTCCCGTTTCGCTTCATCTGCCATTCAAGTTCGGCGAGGCTTGACGATGTACGACGCAGCGCCCGCGTCTGTTCATATCCGAGCGGCCTCGGGGAAACCTTTTTTCAAGCGACTGCAGTTTTTGCCTTTTTGGTGTGGACAGTGTCGGCGCTAAGCGCATCCGACGCGAGGCTGCGAAGACAGGAAAGTCTGTGGACCCTCACCCCGCGCGATGGCAAGATGGAACCCTGGAATTGCCGTCTAGCGCTAGGCTCAACAGCAGCAGCACCTACGCCATCGTTTTCGCATTCGTCCCGGCAGTTTGTTCTTCGCCTCAGTCGCGGTGCAACGGGCGTAGGCGGGGTCGTCACCTAGTTGGCGTGCTGCACTTAGCTTATAAGCTTTATGCACGGCTTCGCGAGGATCCCGTCGGGATACTACCCGACTTGAACTTGAAGCTTCGGCAACTTGGCTATGGGTCCGTAGACGCGCATTCCCACACATCCACAATGGCTCAACAGACATTCACAGACATTTCGTCACCAAGGGCGGGGCCCTCTGTTTTTAAGCCGCGATGAAGCGATTGAGGATGTATCATACCAGCTCACATTGGCTCCCGCCTCTCATAGAACTCCCCTATTCTTCATTAAACTCCTCGATATGCATCCCTTGGGCCACACCGCTATTAAACGCGAGCTCAACACCGGCGCGTCGTTCCTCAATGTGCGTGTTAAATTTCGCGCCGTTTTATGACAAACTTTCATTGACAAACTGCGGTAGACTACGCGGAATGCACCCCAGCCGCCGTATTCTTCCCACCACGGCCCGCAGCGCGGCCCCCCATGCTGCACATGCCGCCCCGGGTGCCCTTCCCCACGGGTGGAACAACCATCAATATCAATTTCAGTCCACTGAGCAGGGCAACGCACGGCCACCTGCACCTGCACTTGCATCCACAAATTCGCATAGCCATCCCCAGCATCAGCATCAGCATCACGCCTCGCCCGCGGCCGCCCCACCGCCCAGCGACCCAGATGTCGCGGACCCTGGTGCCAAGGACCGCGCGCGCCAGCCGCTCGCCTGCTTCTTCTGCCGCGGGCGCAAGATCGCATGTCGTCGTGAGCCCAACGCGGCGAAGTGCAAGTGCGTCCTGCTGATTTTCTTTGTTTTTTGAGACGGTTCTGATGTGTGTGATTGTAGTACGTGTATCGCAAAGGGCAACCCGGACTGTATCTTCCCGGTGCAGTCTAACCGCGGGCTGCATCCGCGTGTAAAGGAGCAGCTGGCGCATGAGTCGGGGGTCGTCGTTATAGGAGACGGTTCGTTCCCGCGCATAAGTCACTGAGCTCGGATGTTCCAAAAGACTCGACGCTCTAACATTCTTTAATAATTTTTAATTTAGTACCTATTTCTCTGACTTATATGTCTGTACTACTAATGTATTCCCGATATTTCCACCAATATTATCTATTTCCGCTGAAAACTCAACCATGTAGAAGACTAAGTCAATATTTTGCCGGAGATCTATTCAGTCAACGGATCCGAATAATAAGATTAGACATCAGCCGCAAAATAGGGTCGGTTCACACGTGACTCACCGCGCACGGACCATCCGATGACTCCACGTGCCCGCGGAGGGCTTTTCTTTCCTCCGAACCCCCACACACAGCTGTGCGTGCACGGCCGTCTGCAGCCAGTGTCTGGTATACTTCCTCCTGGTTGGCTGGCAGCGCTGAACGATCTTCAGGACATCGAAGGATACGCCCCTGGCAACGATGGATCCAAGATGGAAGTGTCTATACTTAACTCAGAAAAAATAACTGCCACGACTCGGACTTCAAGTGGTTCTATTGCTCGCCGCTGAGCCTTGACAGCCTTTCCGCTCCGCGGCCATTCGCCCTGTCCCTGTCGTTCGTCCGTCGACGCTGATCACGCTGCAAGCAGCGCCGACACGACCATCAGCCCGGTGCCGCTGTCTGCCCATTGGTGGACGGCGCCCGCCCAAAGTCCCCTCTTTGGCGGATCCATGATGGATCGCTCGAAGATGCCAGACGCCGGGGGCCGCGCTGTGATAGGCTCAGAAGCCAGTGGTGGCGGTGGATGAAACGCGTAGATCACCCTGCAGAGTGTGAGTGGTGTAGTCATTCCCGGAGAGGACTGACTGTACCAGGCTCAGCCGTTAACTACCTCGCCAACGCGCACTACTAGTAGCAGGGTGACGTTATTGGAATGGTCTGAGGACGTGCCGGACACGACAGCCGTCGCTTGCTCGTCGAGGTATCATTCCAGTTTCGCCGCTTTAATTGGCGTCTGTCGAACTATCATAGCTCCCGACTCGAGGGGTTACGCAACCTTTGAAACGCAAAGAACTTCAAAGAAGCAGCGGATTGTATAAGTACGGCTCCGTTCTCCCTCGTACTCCATTCCCGACTCCGCTCGGCCCCAGACACTCATTCCCCTCCCTCACTCCCTCACTTGAAAAGCCATGGTCCAGCTCACTGCCCTCGTCGCTCTCTCTCTCAACGCTCTCCTCGCGTCCAGCGCTTCCCTCGCCGCCCGCAAGGACTCCAAAACCCACGGTGTAACATGTGGGTGTGACCTCAAGAAGAGCACCACCGTGTCGATGCACCTGCCCACGAACCAAACTGCGCTTGTGCAGCCCACTACACCCCCGCGCTACGTCGCGATCGGTGTCGGCTACCAAAACTATACGTGCAACAGCGCTACCTCGACCTTTGCGTGCGTGTTTTCATCACTATAATCATCAAGATCGTGCCGACGTCTTTTCAGCTCGATCGGCGCCGTGGCCACGCTGTTCGACCTGTCCTGCATTGAGGGCAAGTCCGACTTTGAGACCATCGCGCAGCGGTCTTATAACGTCTGGATATCACCTGCTGAGGGCCACGCGAAGGCGGATGTCGTTGGCGCGAAGGTCGGCACGCCTAGCATCCTCGGGGTAAGCTCTTCTCTCCTCCCTGCCATATTATAAGCAGCCGCTTATTAAGTATGTGATCTAGTACCACTACTTCATCAACTCACCCACCACCGCGGGCGCGATCAACGCCAAGTGGGACTTCACCTCGACCGGCTCGCACAAGGGCGACGCAACGGCCTTCGTCGTTGGCGCTAAGGTCGGCAACATCCCCGCGCCCGCACCGGCGGACCCGAAGGTCACCGTCGACTGGCTCATGCTCAACGGCATCCCCGGGTTCGACGCGCTCGCGAGCCAGGTCTTCCGTGTAGACACCGTTGGCGGACAGCCGCCCGCATCGGTAAGCACGATTTGGGTTTGGTATGAGGACATTGCTGAGTGTTTCTCCAGTGTGCTGCCGGCGCTGCGCCGATCCAGGTTAAGTATGTTGCCAAGTATTTCTTGTATTGAGCCGTTGTTGGTGAACCAGACAATCCTGTACTACTGCGGCATAATTAACTTGAATAAAATATTTCTCGAGGCGGAGATCGTCGGGCATATCAGACATCAGAGATTAGCCAGACTCTCAGTCGGACACGGTCAAGTCCGGGCACGGGGACACGGCTGACGCGGCTGGTGAGCGAGCATAAAGGCCCATTGGTACCACAGTACTGCACCTTTCAATAAATCTAACAACTTCAATGCCTCACACCGGTTCCTGCGCCTGCGGCCAAACGACCGTCACCCTCGCGGGGACCCATACGACCCAAGTACGACTTTCTGCTCTGATAAATGCTGATCACGCCTATTGGTACCAGGTCCTCTGCCACTGCCTCGACTGCCAGAAGGAGTCCGGCAGCGCATTCAGCGCAAACGTGGTCGAGCTCAAGACGAACGTCACTATCGCCGGCCCCGTCAAGGAGTATTTGACTAAATCGGAGTCCGGCAATACCGGTGCGCAACGAGTTGACGGCTTTGAGATGACCATGACATCGCTGTAGTTCGGCACGTCTTCTGCTCTGAGTGCGGCAGTCCGATCTCGCACGTCAGCCCTGGCTTCGGCGAGTCGCAGGGCATCCGCGCGGCGCTCTTCCCGGAGTTCAAGGATATCCCGATCGCGGCTGAACGTATGTGCTCTGCTTTCCGGGTGAAAGTCAAGACTGATGACGCAGTGTTCGTCCGTTCGCGCTGGCCCGTCATTCCCGAGTTCAAGGACAGCGCAAAGATAGAGACGATGTAATGTGTGGTCCCCGTATCACCAAGTAATTAATTCAATGCGGTTCAATGAAAAAAACAAAATGTAAGATTCAGAAGCCCCACATGTCCTCGATTCTGTGGGGAAGCATCCATTTGCGGATTTTCTTTGCAGCGTCTACCAGTGGTCAGCGATACCCGGAGAATAAAGGGGAGAGATACCTATGTCGTCTGTCATGTGCCGCTCCTCCGCTCCACTCGGATAGCGCTCCCACGAGAGGGCAAAGTCCGTCTGATCGTTGAAACTACCCTCGTGGACAATATAGATCGCACGGAGCAAGGGGCAGCGTGCGACAGCAGTAGCCAGGAGCCCTGCACGAGATGGGGCGGGGTGAACAAAAATGTCTCTGGTGCTGGCGATCGGATAGTTGAAGGCGATAGATACGTGTAACTCAGCGAGTGTAGGGGGCGCAATCGTGGCGAGCAGCTGCTCGATGAGGTCACGGAACTGGAAATGTCATTAGAGCAGAGGTCATGGGGGGAAGAAGACAACGTCAACGAACTGGGTGTGGGCCTGATTCGTGAAGTTCATCGTCGTAGCCGCAGGCATTGATGGCGAGAAAGGCTAGACGCGGAAGCGCCGTGACAACCTGGGAGAGCACATCGTGGTCCAGCAGTATGTGGCTGAGGCCCAGCGTCGTGATGCGCGCGGCCTTGTCGGGAGGGATGGCGCACAGGTCCCGGAGAGATGTGTCCAAAATCTCGTCGATGAAGAGCCGCTCAAGCTGACAGCAGTCAATGAAAGGCAGTGCGATGTCCAACGGGCCGGAAAAGGCTTGCAGACATGGGAACGTGTCTGGTGTGAGCTGAGAAAGGTCATGCTCGCCGAGGTCGTTGTCCAAGGCGTCGCTGTTGATGGCGAGGCACTTGAGGCAGCCCAGACCTGCCAGGCCCCCGAGCTTGAAGGTGTAGAACTCGTTACCGATATACACAGTGTGTAGTTGCGAAGTGTCGATCAGACGCAGATGCGCGTCGAGAGTCTGGTCGCCGTAGTAGCCAAAGCATGTTATCGCCAGCTTCTCCGTAGGCACCTCATCGCCGCCATATAGATTGGCCCAGTGGATGACGAGCTGCTTTAACGAGGGCAGGCGTGTAATGGCATGGTACGCGGGAGCGTCAAGCGCGAGTCGGTACAAGTTGAGGCGGCGCAGGTTTACAAAGTGGTCGGAAAGCTCAAGAAATAGGGCCATGAAGTGGCCACATGTCTGCCCATCCGACTCCGCTATGCGCCGCACAGGCCGGTGCCTCTGATGGTGTTCGAGTCGTATGCAGCTTAGCGACGCGCTACGCATGCAACCTGCGATCTCAGGCGCCGTAAACAGCTCGATCTTAGCGAGGCTGTGCGGGTCGGGGATGTGTGACACCAGTCCCCGGCGATTATAGCCCGGGGTGGGGTTGCAGAATCGCAGGCTGACGTGGCGGAAGAGAAGACTGCGGGCGAGACGTAGCAGCTTGCGGTTGGATGCCGCGACAGAGCGCAAGTCGGCACGTGGGAGGGCCTGCAAGACTTCGAGCCAGAGCTCGTTCGGAAGTCGGTCGTTGACGCGCATGGTGATGGTTGCTGGTCAACCCAGGAAGCATCACGTGTGATTGGCGTGTGATTTATTGAGTGAAACGTAAGCAGTGGCGTTTTCAGGCACAAAAATAGGTAATGTGTAATATTAATTGGGGCAAAAAAACATTTTAGCGTTAGAATTCGTCTAAAATAGAGTTTATCAGCACTTGGTTTTCCAAATCATTTAAGAGACAATGATCTACTGATGAGACAAATTTGAGAACAGGTTCAAATATTTTGTAGTGCAAATGAATGGCTTTCAGCACCCAGTTATTGCTGTACAGCTAGAGAACTCACAATTTTTGGAAGCAAGACCTTGGCATCCTCAAACACTATTTCTTAAATTCAGAGGCTAGTTTGAAATTTCCAAATGCCATTTGTTGTAATGTGCCGAAAATTTTCGGCAGTCACACTCGGAGGCCTTGGACGCCGAAAATCTCAATTCGGCGCCGATGTCACACACTTTTTGGACGCCGAATTGATTAAAATACTACAGTATAGCACACCTGTGAATCCCACATGACCCTTCTAGTTAGGCAGGGAGGTACACTGCACCTCCCATCCTAACTAGCAAGAAACTGCTCAAACTCCCTACGCTGTGATAAATACTGCAATAAAGTTGCAATAAAGTCAATAGTTCAGATAAAAGACCTTGGAGCGATAAGTCCGCTCATGGCTGATGTCTAAGATTATCAGCTGTGATGCCATCAGCCCTTTCAAAAAAAAAAAAAAGGCAATTTTGCTTCTAGACTGTCCAGACACAAGTCCAATGAAGCATTTCTATAACACTTGATATAATAAATCATTAGATCAGTTTCCAAAAAAGGAACTTTTGATCTTCCAAACCGTTCTGACAAAGTTATTGAAAATTGGATTCATATATATATTTACAATCTCACATATGGACACTTACAAAACTAATATAAACATAACTAATATCACTAGTGATCTGTCAGGGGAAACCCTGATGCCGTCACTTGATCCCATCAAGCGCCGCGTTGTGGAAGTAAAGGCTGGCCTTGAGTTCGATAGAATTTCCCGGCAACTCCTTAGGGTTCAAGGTCAAGCTCGAGGCCCCTGCTCCTCACGTTCTGACGAGTGGGCCGTCTCCTGCGGTCTTCTCCATTTCCGAGGGAAGATTGTCGTACCAAAGGACAAGGACCTTCGGAGACGCATCATCGAGCTCTGCCATGACACTCGAGTCGCCGGACACGCAGGTCGCTTCAAGACCTTGGACTTGGTCTCCCAGAACTACTGGTGGCCCCAAATGTCTCGCCATATCGGCCGGTATGTTGCAACCTGCGACTTGTGCTGTCGCACGAAGGCGCTCCGGAGACTGCCCCATGGAGAACTGCACCCCACGGAAACGCCCCCGGAACGCTGGCATACCGTTTCCGTTGACTTCATCGTAGAGCTCCCCGAGGCTCATGGGTACGACGCGGTCATGGTAGTCGTCGATGCTCTTGGCAAACGCGCTCACTTCACTGAGTGCCATACGACGGTAGACGCAGTCGGAGCCGGCCGGTTATACTATCGGAATATCTGGAGGCACCACGGAACCCCCGAGAAGTACATCTCAGATCGCAGTTCGCAGTTCATCGCTGACTTCACACGCAAACTCTGGCAGTGATCGACTAAGGGCCCCTTTTTTCAGCTCTGAGATGTGCAAGGGCCTTGCAAGGCCCAGGGGCCCTTTCAAAGGGGCCACAGCAAGGGGCCCTTAGGCTAGGCGAGGAAACAAAATACATAAATATATATATTGTGTTTTGATATATAATTGCCTCTTTTATATACCATGATAAGGTATCCTTGAGACCAGGATTCAATTAAGGTGAAAATAGATGTTCTAAGAGGTCTTTCTACTGGCAATGTCACAAGTGTCACACTATTTGATACCATCACAGGCCCTTGCAAGGTCCTTAGACTGTTAGCAAAAGAGGCAAGGACCTTGTGAAAGGCCCCCAAGGGCCCTTATGAGACAAGGGCCCCTGCCCCCTTGGTCGATCACTGAACTCTGGTGCTTAATCGGTATCAAGCCCGCCACATCCACGGCTTACCACCCGCAGACCGACGGACAGACCGAACGCGTTAACCAGGAGCTTGAGCAGTACATCCGGATCTTCACCAACTACCAACAAGACGACTGGGACGAGCTTATCCCTGCCGCTGAGTTCGCCTATAACAATCATGTTCACTCCTCCACTCAACAGGTACCTTTCATGACGGACACTGGTCGACTCCCCCGAATGGGCTTCGAACCTGGTGCCCGCTCAGAGTTGGAGTCAGTGAATGAGTTTCGCGATTGGATAGCGAACGGCGTCTCCAAAGCAAAGGCCGTGCTCGTTAAAGCTAAGGACGAGTATAAACGGTACTACGATCGGAGACGTTCGGACGCTCCAAAAATCCAAGTTGGTGACAAGGTTTGGCTCTGACATTAGGACGACTCGGCCATCCGAGAAGTTCTCCCACAAGCGCCTCGGACCGTTCAAGGTGCTCGCAGAGGTCAGCAAGGGCGCCTACAAGCTAGACCTCCCCCCGCGCTACTCCAAGCTCGACCCGGTCTTCCCCGTTGTTAAGCTCGAACCTGCTAAGGACGACCCCTTCGATGGACGACCCGGTTACGACGAGCCGCCCCCCGAACTAGAGGACGGAGTCCCCGAATGGGAAGTCGAGGAAATCTTGGATGCCAGGATAAGGTATAAGCGTCTTAACTACTTCGTCAGGTGGAAAGGCTACGATGCTTCACACGACTCATGGGTTCGGTTCGACCGTGTCTTCGCGCCAGACAAGATTACGGACTTCTATCGGAGATACCCAGGTAAACCACGGCATATCCCCTCAGCAACCCTCGACTCGCTGCCCTTTCGGACCACCTGTTAATCCCACATATCCCTTGTAGTTAGAATGTACACTACAGCGTGGTGTGCATTCTAACTACAAATGTTTCTGTAAATGGCCCAATGCTGCAATAAATAGAGTTTAAAGTTGCAATAAATGTAATAATTCTGGGGCCTAAGACTTGAATGCTAAGTCGGCAACCTACGCTGCAATATCTGCTATAAATATTAAGCTAACAGATCATTGAGGCTTGCCAAAAAAGGCAATTTCAGTTGAAAGGACTATAAGGCTGTCAGGGGAAACCTGATGCCGTCACTTGATCCCATCAAGCGCTGCGTCTCCGCTCACGCGTCTCCACTCGCGTCTCCGTGTCTCCACCCGAGTCTCTGTATTCCTGCACCCTAACGCTCCTCCTCCACTTCTCCCACCACATCCCGCATCCTATCATTACTCCGGTCACTAGTATATAGTAGTGCACCTGAGCAGAGGGCTCCTTGGCTTGTCCTCTAAGGATTCCCCCTCTGCTCAGGTGAGTCTGTAGCGTCCCTTCCTGTTGTAGTAGTTTCACTAAGGATTCCCCCTCTGCTCAGGACTCTGATTTCGAGCCTCGCGAGGTTGCCCTTACAAAGGCGTGTAGACTGTAATATCTACTATCTCTGTGATATATTATGATTACATCATTGAAAGTTACCAAAAGAAGAAATGCTTAGTATTAAGGATCTAGTACTTAAGTAACTATAATATATGACACTGTTATATGACATCTTACTATATTTGTTATATTATATCATACTATTCATATTGATGGTACTCATTTCAGCTCTATATGTGCTGTTACACAGTGTTATATCATATGTGCTGTGACAGGTGTGACATATCTCTTAAAAAGGAAATTTTCGCCATTTGACAGTACAATCATCAGATAATGTCACAAAGTGTCACAAAATTAAAGTTATACATTTTGACTATATGAACAACTTTCATTAAGTGACTTGGACCGATAGTGGCAGCTCAGTAATTATGTTAGCATTGGCCAATTATTAGCTGATTTATGCCTTATACAGTGATTTACTATGTAGACAACCCACATAGGTTATTGAAGCACCACTAAGGGTATGAACAACTTTCATTAAGTGACTTGGACCGATAGTGGCAGCTCAGTAATTATGTTAGCATTGGCCAATTATTAGCTGATTTATGCCTTATACAGTGATAATTTACTATGTAGACAACCCACATAGGTTATTGAAGCACCACTAAGGGTACCTGAATATTAAGACCAGTACCCTTTAACATATAATATTATTAGTATACCTATACCATCTCCTGATGATTCATCATAACTATTGATGATGAAATTTGTCCACCAAATCTGTATGAATTTAAATGATTGTTGTACTGGTAGGTAGCTATTTACTTAAGCTTTAGATGTTCTGATGTGATCATAGTCCTATATCTTAATACTCCAATATTATGCCACTTTTCCCCTGGTTTCCATGTTTTAAATTGGATCAGGCACAATGATCACTTGATATGTTGCTATGAAATGCATGGATAATCATGATCCAAGTTGCATTCAGGTCTAATAGATGTCCATAGTAGCTGTGTGTACCCCCCATAATTTTATATATCATATGCACCTGTATCCATAGCATAAATTCTATCACTCTAATCTCTTAATAACCTACTTGAAGGTGAAGGGTCCCCTGATGGGATTAAAGTGGGAAATATTTAGAGGGATCCCCTTATGAAATGGTATGCCTTACATCATATACTATGTCCAGAAAATCCTGTTATGCTCTATTAGACTGATGAATACTACTATATATTATATTGGCAATGGAGCTATGATCTATGATTTGATTGGAGATCAAATATGTAGAACTCGGCAAATATGGTGTATACACATACCCACATACTCTGATTGATCTCTTTATATTTCCAGAGGATGAATTGGGGTCAATATTCCGAGATGAGTTGAGTGCAGAACAGGTTTACATGAATGGTGGGGTCTATAGACTGAGCACCAGACATTAAGATGCATAGATGAGGATATTTGGATGTCTAGTAGGACTCCATACTATAATACATTGTGGTTGTGGCATGTGTTGCTACAGGTAGCTGAACAGAGGGTAGGTATGCATAGAGCAAAAGAGAGTGCCTTCGCTATTACAACAGGTCAGAAATTAATTTCAAGTATGATGCAAGCCTTGAGCCTAGAATTGTATAGGGCTCCAAATGAACCTGTCCAGCACTTGAATCAACCTTATATCTGTTCTGGATCCCTCACAGTACTATTATCAGTGTTATCTACCACAAAGATGATGGGTTCACCATAGCATCACTCATGCTGTTCGAGGAAATCTAAGGATATATACTGGTAGGGGTATGCTCCACCTCCCAGAAACTGGTGGCCCTGACCCTCTAGCATATCTCTATCCTGTGCTATATAGCACCTAAGGTCTTTGGGAATTGAATTACCCTAACACCTGCTGTATGGTCATAAATGAGTGGAGGCATGGTGGACCATCCTATGGTCTCAGATTAACTTAGATCATGAGATTCCATGCATGTCACCCTAAGATATCAGCAAAATACTGTTCAACTTGGTATTTTAACATGCTTGGCAGTGAATAGCTCAGGGTAATAGTAATGAATGATACAGAGACGAGAGCTGAAGGATAGATAGATGGTACACCTTTCAAATGAACTCTCTCCTAGCTTTATCCGCCAAGGCTAGCTGGAGATCTGTGCTTATCATAGGGATCAATACCACTGATGAGTGGATGTATTGCATTATTAGTGCCACATTCACTAGGAATTAAGAAGGAATACATCAGAGCCTTAGGTCAGAGTAGGCAAACTTACAAGTCAGCTACCTTATATTTTAAAAGTACCAAATATTCTCTTTTTCAGGACCGAAGGGTCAATATAGTAATTATACAATATGATAATAATCAACATATCTGATCAATCAATAGTAATTTAAGACCCTTCCTGCTAGTACTTGATTCATGCTTTTAGCTCAAGTAGCTATAAAGATAGAGGCCCATCAGTTATACATGAGCTAGTGATGGGTTAGTGCTCACCCATCATTGAGCTGCCACCATAGGTTACTTAAAGAAAAGGTGGTTATATAGTCAAAATATACAACTTTGATTTGTGACAATGTGTGACATTCTCTGATGATTTTCCCGTCAAATGGCGAAAATTTCCTTTTTAAGAGATATGTGACACTTATGACCTGATATGACACTGTGTAACAAAACCAGTACCATCAATACATATAGTATCACATAATATCACAAATATAGTAAGATGTTATATAACAGTGTCATATCTTATAGTTACTTAGGTACTAGATCCTGCCGTATAGTAATACCAACTCTTTCCTTTTTTGGTAACTTTCAATGATGTAATCATAATATGTTACTGGAGATAGCAGATATTACAGTCTACACACATTATAGTGCCTTTTCAATGATCTGTTAGCTTAATATTTATAGCAGATATTGCAGCATAGGTTGCCGACTTAGCATTCAAGTCTTGTGCCCTAGAATTATTACATTTATTGCAACTTTAAACTCTATTTATTGCAGCATTGGGCCATTTACAGAAACATTTGTAGTTAGAATGCACACCACGCTGTAGTGTACATTCTAACTACAAGGGATATGTGGGATTAACAGGTGTTTCGGACTATGCAGCGGGACGCCGCATTCAAAGGGGGGGTGATGTCACGGGAACCCCTGCTTCGGCCTCCTTCGGACCGTCCGAGCGCATCCGAGGCACATCCAACCGGCGCCCCTCGGACGCTCCGACCCACCCCGACCATCGTCCACAGCCTCCTTCGCCCGCACAATCACTGATCCGTCAAGACCCTCCCAACGATCACCTTGGGACAGAGCCTGCGACGCCGCTCAGGCCTTCTGCACTCTACGTCGGCAGTTACGGACGACCAGTATATAGTTGGCACCCTAGCAGGCGGACCCTTAGAGTTTCTTCTCTTTTGATCCTCCCCTGCTAGGTCGGTCCCTCCGTGTATTTCCGTAGCTTTTATTCACGCTTTGGATCCTCCCCTGCTAGGCTTTTGTCGTCGGGGTCTCCAGGGTTGCCCTTACAGGTAGCCGGGAGGGTGATGGCAGCCGGCTCTTTCCCCACTACCAAGACCCCTTGGTAGCCATATTTAGTGGGGTGCCCACTACTGGCTCAACCCCCTCTAGTTAGAGGGAGATAGTACCCTACTCTATCCCTCTAACTAGAGGGTATTAGGGTGCACCATAGGTGGGTTCCCCTGACACATCCATCAATATCATTAAACCTTCAATCAGCCTGGCTAGGTGTACTTATGTTAGTGCTTAAACTGGTTGGTCCTCATTGTGTGCTGAATATTTGTACTATGGACTGATTATTATCTGACTTAGTTAAGAAAAAAAAAAGATAGGTCAAATCCGATATCCCAGTTATTCACTGCATGCCTATCCTACATGTGAGAGATAGAACACAGATATCTAACTTACCGTCTACAGCCTCTACTGCCAGCACTATCACCGATCTATTAAGAACCTTCCAATGGTTGCCTTAGGATAAGGCAAAAACATATTTGATCATCCTACTAGGGTGAGGAGAACCTTAATATATATATTTATGTATGGGTGGTACTTCTGAATGCTATATAAGTTCTACAAGAAACATATTTCAACTTGAGCCAGCTAGAGGACAAAAAGGCAACATGGGAGCTGGGGATTTTATGTAGGGCTCAAAATATTTAATATTCATTTACACCCCTAGGTAAACTAGATGGAAATGGTTACATTTAAAAATGGTTAAAAATGGTAATATAATGATATAAATGATCAGCAATTTTATGGTACATACTTGAGTAAGTTGAGTTTATAATGTTTATTTAACTGACATTCATGTTCTAGATGGGCATGTAGGTCAAGATTCATTGCCTTTGACTTATTTGATGCCAGATTATGTGATGGATTCCTTCAAGAGAAAGCCTACAAATGCAACAACTATCTATATTCATGTGGAATGTATGTCCTACACTAGTATGCATTTGGTAGCCAGACATATATTCATCGTAGTAACGCTCAATGGTACATGGGTGAGGTAGCAGTTGTCTTGTTAGCCCCCCCCACCCACAACCCCTGGGTAAACATCAAATAACTACTTTATCAACATTTGAATGAGAAACAAGCATGGAGGCGGGTCTACTTCCGGTGTATTTAAGTACTGTATATAACACAACCCCAGAACAATAAGTAGGACACCAGGTAAACATATCCCATATCCCTGCTAGCATGGCTCCACAGGGAGAACAACCCATTGTATAGGTGATTATATTTCAGTTTTTCCGAGGCTAATAATGGGTCAGGTAGATGCACAATAGCCTTGGGATGCTTGTAGTGTACAAGTCTACTACAGGACTACAAATGGAGAAGTACCCACTTCAAGAAGCACCCACTTCAGGAAGCTCTCTTAGAAGCCCCACATCTCCGCGATCCGGTGCGGGAGCATCCACTGACGGAGCTTGGTGGCCTTCCCTGTCGGCAATATTAATATTGAAATTCTGATCCAGAGAAGGGAGGGAACCTACCGACGTCCTCTGTCGTGTGCCGCTCCTCGAATCCCCCAGGATGGCGCTCCCATGACATCGCAAACGCCGCTTCCCCGCCTCGGCTTCCATCGAGCACGATGTAAATCGCCCTCAGCAGCGGGCAGCGTATGAGTCCTGCAGCGAGGGGGCCCGCGTGGGAGGGGGCGGGGTCGGCGAAGATCTGCTTCGTAGTGGCGATCGAATCTGTCCAGTACAACGTCACATGCAATTCCGTGAGTGTGGCTGGCGCGACGGTGGCCAGCAGCTGGTCGATGAGGTCACGTCCCTGATAAATATGAGGAATCCCAATCATACAGCGAGCACTGCGACGCACTGGCAGCTCCTCATAGAGTGGACGTTCCTCGTACCATTCGGCGTCGTAGTCGCAGGCGGATATGGCGAGGACAGTGAGGTTCGGGAACATGTTCACGATTCGGCATAGCTCTTCGTGCTCCAGTGAAATGTTGTTGATGCCGAGCGTCGTAATGCATGCAGCCTTGTCCGGCGCAATCGTCACGTACCGCAGTGATGTGTCATATAACTCGTCTATAAACAGCCGTTCAAGGTGGCAGTTTTCAATGAAGTGCAATGCGAAGTCGAGCAGGCCAGAGAACGCCCGTAGCCGCGGGAAGGTGGTAGGTGTGAGCCGCGACAGATCGTGGTGCCCAAGATCGCTTCCAAGACTGGCACTGTTGATTGCGAGGCGCTCGAGGTTATCCAAGCGCGTGAGGCCATCCAATGTGAAAGTCTCATCGTTGAAGCCTACGTACACGGTGTGCAGTAGTGAAGGGTCGATGAGCCGCAGGTTTGAATCAAGACCCAGTCTTCCGTAGTAGCTCAGACATACAAGCTCCAGCCTCCTGGTCGGTAATTCTCCGAACCATAAATCCGTCCAGTTTATGACGAGCTCCTTCAGCGCCGGCAGGTTGGCAACGGCGTGGTATGCAGCGTGGTCGAGCACGAGGTTGTCCAACTCGAGTCGACGGAGGTTAGCGAAGCGCCGGGAATGCTCCAGAAAAAGCGCCAGGAAATGGCCGCAAGCACGCGTTTCGCCGTCGGCTAGGCGTAGGACGGGCTGCCGCTCTTGCATCTCGTGTATACGGACGCAGCGCAGGCGGCCGCTCCGCGCGCGCGAGGCAATGTCAGGTGATGTGAATAGTGCGATTCTCGCTAAACTGTCTGCAGCGGGGATGTGCGGGTTCCAGCGCCCGTCGCCTGGGATAGGCGTGCAGAAGCGGATTTTGACGTGGCGGAAAAGGAAATCGCGAGCGAGATGGAGTAGTGTTCTGTTGGATGCAGCGACGGAGCGCAGCTCCATCTGTGAGAGGTGCTGCATGACTTCGAGCCAGAGTTCGTTCGGAAATCGGCCGCTGACGGACATGGTGATGGTTGCTGGTCAAGCCAAGAAGGATCACGTGTAATTCAGAGTGCGACGATCAGTGACGTCACATCATCTCATCATCTTCGTTAGCAACGACGACGACCGTGACGTGTCCTGGTCCCTCGTCCCTCGCCCTGCTTCTCGTCGAGGCCACTCCACCCTATTCTACAGCGCAAACGAGTTTCAGGCTCTCAGCAGCCGACGTTGGCGAGCATATGGGCCGTCGACAGCACGGGCCCCATCTGCCGCTTGGCGCGACTCGGATGGCGTGATCAGCGTGGTAGTCATCTTTCTTTGCCCCAGCCAACAACCTCTGAATGACGACACACAAGTAACGGAGGGGCGTGGCGCGACGAACGGAGGCGGGGACGGAGCGGCAAGGACAAAACGACAGGATGGAACGAAAGCTGGTGGAGTCGTTGGGTGCGCGGCCCTGGTTGCGACAGCTCCCGCATGTATGTCTGACCTGAAATGTTCTGCCAGGATTGAATGCTGAGGATTGACAGAAACGCATTCCGCCCCCCGTATCTTGACATGTGATGCCTATCCACAGGTGTCGCGTGTCCTTAAAGGCGCGGATGTCCCCGTCCGCTCCTCCATCGACCTTTCTCCGTCTCTTCCTCGCTTTCGAATTCTCCACCTTTTTCGTTCTCTTCAACGCATACCTTCGTTTAACGTTACCCCGGCCGGCCTGATTCTGTCTTGCTTTTTCGTTTTCTTCTCTCCCAGCCGGCCTACTTCAGTACCCTTAAGAACACTACTCATCCTGCTACAACGTTTACACCATGTTTTCCCCGTTCCTCCTCCTTATCCCTTTCCTCACTGGCATTAACGCTGCCAATGACTGGAGCAAGCCGTGCATTAGCGGCTCCTGCTCATATGGTACTCCCTTAATCTTCCCAATAGCTGCATCTCATCATCTCCCCCAGATTTAACGACGAACGGCACCGCCTCGGGAACCGTCACTATCGTGCGTCCGTCGTTTGCTTCTCCCACTCATGGCTGACCACCTCTGGAGTGGGGTGCGGCAACAGCCATCAGCGATATCACCACCGCCGCGGACTGGGAGATCCTGGGGTGCGACCCCACTGCGCTTTCGCAGTCCATCCGGCTGGTGTGCAAGTCTGCCGACTCGAAGAAATGCGACCATCTCTATGACGCAAATGGCGCAGTAGGAAAGATAGTGCGCCTACCCGAGAATGTGTGCCTTCTTTCTGCTACGGCAGTGACAAAATCTGACAAAGTTGTGATAGTGCGGGAAGAATGCGTTTGCGCGCGTGTCTAAAGCCTGGGTGCCCGCCGACCAGTCCATTCCCGCGGGTGTTAAGCCGCGCATCGTTCGCCGAGACGGGAAGGCTCCGCAGGTCAAGGCGCTTGCGTTGGATACCAACTTCGCGAGTGTCGACCAGACCAAGTAAGTCATTTCAGGTCTGCCAGGGCTGACTTGAATGGCTTTAGGACCGGCGTCGTCAACATCATGATCCAAGGCGCGAATGTCCCCGGCGCCAAGTCTGCCACCCCACTCAACGTCCCACCTTCGCGTCGACACACCCGGCTGTCCCAGCGTAGCCTGCTGGGGTCGGTCAAGGACGCACTCAAGTGTACGTGATTCTCAAAAGAGAGTATGGTTGCACTGACAAGTTTCAGCGGTCGTGTCTAATTCGATCAGCGCGAAGAAGACGGTGAACCTCAAGCCGCTGGATGTGAAGAAGACGATTCCCTTGATCAACAAGAGCGTTAGCTGCGGCGCGACGACGGCTAGGCTCTCTGCGACCTTGGATGCGAGCGCGCATGCGGTTGCGAGTATCGGCGTCGCTGCTGCTGGCACCATCATCCCGCCCAAGGTGTGTTCTCTTTCCTGCTCAGCGGATATGTTCCTCATACTTTCTCAGCTCACCGACTTCGGACTTGTCACCGGCCTCACCGCCAGCGTTAATGGTGTACTCGACATCAACGCCGACGTTGCTGGTTCCATCGATTCGGGCAAGATACAGCTCGTCAACGTCGGCGTGCCGGGGCTCGACTTCCCCGGTATCCTCACGATCGGGCCGTCTTTCCAAGTCAACGCACAGCTGACCGGCGCGTTCGACGTCAACCTCGATATGAAGGTCGGCATCGTGTTCAATGTGGATAATGCACAGATCGCGTTCCCGCCCGGGAGCTCGGCCAACCCCGCGGGCAAGGCCTTTTCTGTCGGGAATACCCGTGAGCCCTTACTCTACAGGAGAAGATGTTGATCAATCTGGGCTTAGCTTTGACGCTGTCCGCTTCCCCGAGCGTGAAGGCCACTGGCACGGTCGCGGCACACCTCATTCCCTCGCTCAATCTCGGCATTTCCGCGCTGGGCGGCAAGGCGGAGGCGACCGTGCACATGGACCTCGATACCAGCGCCTCCCTCAAGCTGTCACTGGAGGCATCCGCTAACGCTGCGACGACTCTGCTCACCAAGACGCCTGCTCCGGCAGCCACGGGTGCGAGTGCTGGAGCAGCTGTGGCCAACGCAGCCGCGGCTGCGGGCCAAGGCGGCAGCGGCGCAGGTGAACGCGGCGCTGGCGGCAGCTGTCGCGCACAAGAGTCGGAACGAGAGCGACAAGCGGGCGGTGACGGGCAGCTTCGGCGGGTGCGTCGCGGTGGACGCGGGGGTCGATGTGAGCGTCGGCGCGGACGGGAGCTTCTTCGGCCTGTTCAGCAAGAGCGTGAACAAGTCGCTGTTCAGCAAGGAGTTCGAGATATTCAAGGTGTGTTCCTGAGCGGAAGAAAAGAAGTGCTTATTGTGGATAGAAATGTTTCGGCTCTGCGAAGCGCTCGGTCCTCGAACGCGATTCCGCCCGCGCTATCGAGCGTCGCGCGCTGTCCTGCCCTGCGGCGAAGGTCGGCGCGCCTGCTGCTGTGGTGGATGGCACTGTTAGTGCCTCGGCGTGAGTTGTTGCTTGTTTTCTCCAACAACAATTGTCCGACTGACGGCGCGGCAGGATCAAGGCACTATGAACAAGTCTTTCCGAATACCAATGACCATTTACGCCAATGACTGACTACGTGCTTTGGCTATACTTATTTCAATAATTCTCTTCTATGTTTATTCATAATTAATTGAGATGTCGTTCTTTTTTATAAGAGCATCAGGAAACATCCAATTTCCCACTTTACCTTGCTTAAACTTTTATTTGTGAACTTAAGCAAACAGTTCAAATGGCTTCCACTTCAGTGGTAAACTAAAATAAATATCAACAGTGCATCCAAGTATTTCTGAGCTTTGTAGCTACTTTGACACTATTTTGGAAATCACTCCAGAGTTCAAATTATATGTTCTTACCATACAATAATCCCCCTATAGCTCGGCAATGTAATTAATCAACAGGAAGATGATTTTAATGTCTAAGTATTTTAGATTGAAAGGGCTGTTATAGCTCAAATGATCTAGTAAGACTTTAAGATAGACAGGATATATGGAAAAACTTGAGAACAAACTGTTTACTACTAGTAATTTGTATCTGATTACCTGAACCATTTATAAATATTTTGATATATTTATTATTGTTTCTGTTAGTGTTTCTATTTTATTTAAAATTTCAACAAACAGAAGTGCAATAGTTGGAGCCCTACTTGGAAAGGTAATTCCAGGTCATTTCAGATTTTCAAGGGTAAAAAACTGATAGATGTCAAGTAAACTCTGTTGAGAATTGACTGGTTGATAGCCTGGTGTACTCCAGCCATTAAGCTTGTTTGGATAAACACTGGGGTTGTCAGAGGATGAGGGTCCAGGTGCCTAGTTGATACCAAAGCCTAGGGAACAGCCCCCCAGCCAACTACTTAAGTACAGGGCTATCTGCGCACAGACCAGTCACGTGATCAGTCACAGCTGTCACATCACATGCTCCCCTTACACCAACCCCTCCTCAAGATCCGTCACCTCGACGGATAGGCGGAGTGTAGGTTCTGTGAACTCATATTCGGGATCGCCAGGGAAATAGAGATTGTTGCCTATGACGCGCGATGACTGCGCAGGTATGCCCCCTCGTTGGGCGGTCTGCCGATTACGCGGCCAGGCGTCAGCTACGTCAATCTGCATAGGAGAGCCGATCGGGGGTAGGTGATGCGCTGGCCAGTGCCGACGGAGTGGCCATAACCACCGAGGGTGCGAAGGGAGTAGGGTAAGGCTGGGGGGTAGGAAGAGATGGTGCCGCGGCCTGCATAGGTTGGGTAGTGGCAGCAGCAGGTTGGCGGGGTAGGGAAGACAGGAAGAGGGGGGAAGACCAAGGGTACTGCAGATCATCAGCTGATGACATCAAGTCACACATGTCACATAGGGTAGGGTGGGTTACCAGGGTGAAATTTCACTTTTTGGACTTGTGTCTGGAGAAGGTTTATGGACATTTAGGAGGATTAGAAATGCACAGTTATATGTTTTTAGGACTTGTTGCCAAAGAATCTGGAATGTTTAAGAGCCTATATCCCAATTGGGAGAGTTTGATGATAAGTACAGTGCTAAACAATGACAACTAAGCATGACATTTACATCTGCTTCTTTCCTTCCCATATGGTATTTCTTAAATGGCCCTGGCATAGAATCCAATGAGCCTAGTGCTGTGTCCTGTACAGACACTGATGATAAACAATTTCCTTTTTGGGAAATCACATGGCTTAGTCATGCTTACGTCAATAGGGTAGGGAGGGCTGGCTCGTCCTTAATTCACTTTTTTCGACCCGATGTCTAGGATTTTTTTTGCGAGGTACCCTTGGGGAAGACAGTCACAAATGCCCAGCTGGCCCACCAGCGGCCGAGGCCCTCGGATGAGTGGCAGGTCGAACCGCAGTAGTGGCGTGGGGCACCTGAGACTAGGCGTGGATCACGGTGGATAAGCAGTGCGGAGGGGCACGGTCGACATCCATCTACGTGGCACGTGGTACAGGCACAGGCGCGGCAGGAGGAGGGGGGGCAGGTCCCTCAGCAGACGGTGGCTGACGTTGCTTCTTTGCACGGACACACTTGCGCATGAACCGTTTCCCAAGCGCAATAAGCGCTTCACCGATTTGCTGGTTGGTTCCCCGGATAGAGACCCAGTGTTCGCCAGGCGCAGCGCAATCAGAGTATGCACACAACTGAGCACCAGAAGTGTTGTGAGCTTGGTGGAGACCCTTGCCGCCACGACCCACGATATGCCCGACAGCCGAGTCAGGCACCACAAGCGTACAAGAGAAGCGCGTGACAGTGTCAGGCGCAGTAGGAGGGAAGGTTTCGGCGAGTGGTATAGAAGTGTGGGCAGCAGCAATGACAGCAGGGGTAGGGGCTGGGACTGTTGGAAGAACCCAGCGAGTGCCGTCCCAGACACCATGGAATGTGGGACCAGGGGAAGGGGAGCAGGGGTGGAGCAGGCATACCATACTCAAGGCAGTCTAGACGGTCAGTGAGGCGAGTAATTTCACTCTACAGGAGCAGGCAGTATGAATACAGGTCGACAGGGATGCCAGGAGTCGTCATTGGGGAAGAGCAGGCAAGCACAGTAGGGTGAGGACAAATATAGGAGATAGAGAAGATCAACTGGGGCTAGAAGAGTGCCAGAGTCAATATAGAGGCTTTGGTATGCTGTCAGGGGATGAGGGTCCAGGTGCCTAGTTGATACCAAAGCCGGGGGAACAGCCCCACAGATAACTACTTAAGTACAGGGCTATCTGCGCACAGACCAGTCACGTGATCAGTTACAGCTGTCACATCACATGCTCCCCTTACAGGGGTTCTGTTCCTTTGAACCCCCTTATATACTACAAGAAAGTAACTGGAAGATTCTACAAGTATCTACCATGTATATATAATAGCAACAAACTCAAGGGCTTACATAATCAACAAACTCAAGGGAAAATGTGTCACACTGCTCAGGCCTTCTGCGCTCTACGTCGGTGTCAGGGAACCTCACTTTTGAGCCCTCAGAGATGATTCCAATCCCGGTCCGATTCCCATGGCATTTCCAGTACACTCAAGCCTGCGTCATCACCAGTCGGCAGCTACAGACAACCAGTGCCCTAGCAGGCGGACCCTTAGAGTTTCTTCTCTTTGGATCCTCCTCTGCTAGGTCAGTCTCTTCATGTATTTCCTCTAGCTTTGATTTAAACTTTGGATCCTCCCCTGCTAGGCTCTCGTCAGACCCTCCAGGCTATTTATTTTTTTCTAATTTTTTCTTGACAAAAACTCGAAATTTTTGTCCTAGTTTTTTCTCTCTCTATATATAGTCTGCCATTTTCTTAGTAATAATTAGGTAAAAAACTTGAAGTTTTTTCTCTGACATTTCTCAGGCAAAGTTGCCAAAAGAAAGTTCAAATTTTGACTGAGAAAAAAATTTATTCAAAAATTTCAAATTTTTTACCTAACTTTTCACAGGGAGAAGAATGTTTGAATCTGACTATCATTCACTTATGAGTTGGCGACTGTCTACAGAGTGTTCAGAATAAAACACTCAAAGATTCAGATGCTCAGCTCCGACAGCCGGTAACCATCCACGTACAAACGCTGACGCCTCCTGCGGCAGTGACACCCGACGCTGACGTTGCCCTGCTGAGTCATCACTTTCCCCTTCCTTCCGCCACATCATGTCGTCGTCACTGCCGCCTACACCGTCGCCCACAGCCCCAGCTCTGGCGTCCGCCAACGCGGGCTTCGACCACCTTTTCGCAAACGAGCTTGTAGAGGCACGCGCTGCGTTTGAGAAGGATGATTCCCCCTTCCACCTGTTGGGCCTTGGCGTTTGCGCGTTTCTCGAGGCGGCGCTGGGGATGGAGAGCGGACTTATGACGGAGGCGGCAAGGCTACTGGCCGCTAGCGAGGCTGGCGCGAAGAAAGCGAAAGAATCTGAGGCCAAGCGAGTCCGGGAGGCGGCGAAGAGCGCAAAGCCCGGTGCCGTTGTCAGGGACGGTGGTGGGCGATTCGCCGCGGGGGTAGAGTATGAGATACTCATGGCGGATGCGGTGGTGCTGCTTGGCCTGACTCAGGCGCTTTCGTGCGTGGCTATTCTCTTCCCTACGGCGCTTGTTTCCTGACTCTATTGCTATCCTTATCAGGGAGTCGTACATGGGCTATCTGCAGTGCATGTACTCGCTCAACGCGGCCCACTCCAAGTTTACCAAGCTATACAAGACGGTTTTCCCCGCCGGCCTCGACGCGTATCATACCCCCGTTCCCAGCCGCACACCCTCCTTTACCGACCTTGCTGCGTCAACGACCACATCGCTTTCCACGCTCAGCGTCAGCGACTCCGCAACGAGTTCCGCCAGTGCGAGTACCACGACGCTCTCCCTCTCATCAACACCTTCGTCGTCATCCACAGCGCCTACGCCACCCCCCACAATTACGAAATCGTTGTTTGGTCGCTGGGGCGGGAGCTCGTTGAGCGTTAGCAGCGCCTCCTCATCAGTATCAAAGGCAGAACTCGAGGAGAGGGAAAGGATTGAGAAGTTTGAGCGTGAGCGTCCGCCCCAGGGATCGGTGGAAGAGATGGTCGTTGCGGGGACCGCTTTTGGTGTGTGTTTTCCTCTGACATTATCGTGTTATCTGACAAAGGCAGGCTTCGGACTATTCAATCTTGTGTTTTCCCTCCTCCCTAAGCGTGTCCAGTCCCTCGTTGGACTCCTCGGGTTCAAACATGATCGCGAGTTAGCGTTGAGGGCATTGGCAGTCAGTGCGGGCGTGAACACGTTGGATGGGAAGGCCACCGGAAAGGACGTACATGGCGTGTTTGCAGGGTGTGTCATTCCTCCGCCCATTTGTGTTTGTGGCTTACTTAGTCCCCCAGCCTTGTGCTCATGACGTTCCATGGCGTCGTCCTTCTACTCTCCGGCTACCAAGCCGATGAGGCGAAAACCCTCCGTACCTACCGCGCCATTGTCGATTCGGTGGCGGCGCGCTACCCAACGGGCGCGCTCTGGATTCTTAATCGCGCCAAGATATTACGCATGTCTAACGACGGCCCCGGCGCGATTGCTGTGCTCCAGGCTGGGCTGGCCGTCGCTCCCAGCCCGGAGCCAGCCCAGCGCTTCACACAAGCGGACACGCTCCTCGTATTTGAGCTTGCGTGGACGCTGTTGGCGCAGCGCCGCCACCAGGAAGCCGCCGACGCGTTTGTACGGCTGACGGAGCTAAATTCGTGGTCGCACGCCACATATTTGTTCATCGCAGGCGGCTGTTATATTAGCCTGGGCCAGCGGGAGAAGGCGCAGGAGTTCTTGGATCGGGTTCCGGAGCTGCTGTCGAAGAAGAGGGTCGGCGGGAAAGATTTGCCGACGGAGGTTATGATTCGGAAGAAGTGTGAGTGTGCGGTGGGTTTTCTGGACATGGGCTCACCATTCGAAGTGGAATTCTACAGGGAGAAGCAGAAGCGGAGGGGCGGCGACCCGGCGAAATTCGTGGAGGCAATCAGCATCAGTACCGCAGACGGTGTGGATCGTCCCTTTATTTCGCGTTGACATGCTTACGCCATGTGCAGAGCTAGCGATATGTGCGTTATTTTGTTGACCTTCCGGTCACTACTGATTGGGGTGGTTGTAGTCTGGAACACCCACCAGCGCATTACAGACGACGTTGCGTCGGCACACGTCAGGGAGCTCGCGGCCTTGTCACCACCGCTTGCGATGGCTGTCGCCAGCCCTTATCTGCCGTCTGTGGACGCGCCACACGAGGCACCGAACAGCGTAACCTTCCCTACTCCAGAATATTTGAACCACCAGACTGATCCCGGTCAGGCCGCCCCCGCGCTCGACACGCCGGATGAGTCCGCCCTGCGTGCACTCCTTGTCGGTATCCTACACCGCACGCTGCGCGAATACGCCGCCGCGCGGACCCTGCTCGAAGTCGCGCGGGACACGCCGGCGAAAGTCAGCACGTGGCTCCCCGGCGTGGCGAGCTTTGAGCTCGCAGTCCTCGAGCTGAAGGAGGCCGATGCGGACGGTGCGCTCGTTTGGTTTCGTCTGATTGGTTGGAGGCTTATCGTGACTGATAGGTGCCGATACGGCCGCGTGGGCACGGCGCATCGGCGCGGCGGACAAGCACCTCGATGCTGCGCAGGCGTTCGCGGGCAAGGGCGAAATCGACCTGAGCTCCCGGCTGGACAGTCGGATCGCGTTGTTGCGGGACGAGATTGGGAAGAAGCGTGTGATGTTGGGGATGAAGTAAGTTATAATTATGATCAGAAGAAAGGCACGGGAGGTGGAGAGGGCGGAAAACAGTTAATGGTGTTGATAGAGGCGTAGAGTTATTAGCTATTTCTTTGTACTTGTTATATGGTTGGTAATACTTTAAGAGGAAACGGATGATGACTGGTTCTTGATCATATGGTGTTAGGTTGCAGTTGAGCTGGTCCGTGGATAGGTGACTTCTGGGAGATATACTGTGACTTCTGGGTGGTAACAGGTGCTCAGTAATTGTAATGAAAAATCAATGTTCGCGAATGTTATTAACTTCCACCCCTGGGCACAATCAGTAATTCCGACATGTGCCAAACACAACTTGTGTGGAAGAGTACTTTACCATGATCGATATGATGCTGGGGCCCATACTTATACCACATCCACTAGTCATCAATGGAGCTTCCAGGTCAACCACCACTCAATGTAAATTGTACTCAGTGTACTGTTAAACGGCAAAATTTTCCTTTAATTATTTTTGTTAAACCTTGATGTGACATCTCTCTAATCACCAATTTTCACACTGAATTGGGTAATAGGTCACACAAAATTCATATCTGGAGCTCTCCTTGTGTGTATGCGAAAAAAACCGGCAGATGTAAACATATTCTAATATAAACAAAATATCTGGATAAATTTGTACTTGATTTAATGAAAACTCCTATAATGGAAAAATGTGATAATGAAAATAGGCAGTATCTGATCCATATAGAAAAAAAAAATTGGAGCCTTTCTGTTAGACAACATGACAGAAAAGTGTGCTGCCTGTGACATCTTATATCTTTTTTAGTCAAACAGACTAGAAGACCAGTAGAAGTCAGCTATCTATTATTAAACGGCCAGGCATTAGGAGTTGTCCTCTCATCATACATATTTCTGTAGTGATTTTCATTGAATTCTACAGCTTGAAAAAGTCGAGGGTGATATCCTGTTTCTGGCCTCCTCTTTGATAATGATAGAGACTGACCCCTGTGTAGGGCACTTGAAGTATAGAGAGTATCCTCTGTAGGCTGATCACTCTGATCTGTATCACTGGCATATTCCTGTATTTGATGGTCTGTAATCTTCTGTATTTGTATGTGAATGTTGCAGTCCTAAAAGGTCCACACAGTGTCCAATTGCTTGGTTTGCAACCTCCTTAGCTTTCCTTAATTGTTGAAGTTCATGATAGGTAATGCAAGGGGGGTTCAACATTCGAATCACAGATATAGGGTCGGAAAGTTTTTTTTCCGACCCTCTGGGGACCCCCCCCTTCCTGCCATATAGGGTAATATGGTCCCACGATCAGCATCATGTGACCACTGATGCGATCAAAAAGTGGCATAAACAATTTAATCTTTGTGAAACTTTTTTTTTCCAAAAGAATTTATGTATTTGTATATGTATGTGTGTAGGTATCTATGTACCTGGAACCCTCAAACACATATAGCAGGCCATATCACTGTAAAATATGTTCACCTCCCATCACATATCTGATGATGGGCCTGTGACCAGGTGTGCTATCCAAGCTCATGGGCCTGAAAGTATATAGATATAAGTATGGGGGTTGTGAACTATAGACATTAGAGTGTATACACTATATTTTCAGTGTCTTTACACCCATATAAGGCTGAAATCTTTTATATACAAAAAGTTTTTTTCCCCCGGGGACCCCATGTGCCTGATAAGGATCTTGAACCCCCTTGACGTAATGGCAATATTGATGAGGGCTCTGATAGTTGGGAAATGTGTGTACCCAAATTTCTGAATATAGAACTCCACAACTGATTGCTCTAATCTGAGAGCAGCTGTAAAGTTGTATAGAGCTTTATATATGCATTTCAGCTTCCTGATATCTTCCAAGTCCCCAATATGCAGCAGCCATGTTGTGCCATGTGGAAACAGCATCAACATCAGAGGAATTCAAAATAGTCTTATGGTGCAAGAGCAACTTCTTTGCCAGAAGTTCCACTCCAGACTGGTTATTTGTTTCTTGATATATCATAGCAAGAGCTGCATATGCCCACATAGTCTCAGGGTTCCTGATACCCTGAACCCTATCAAGCTTCTCTGTGACTTCCTCCTGCTGACATTCAGCTGTATTGAATGTGCCCTGATTCATATGAATCTGGGCTAAAGTTCCCTGAGCCTTGAGGGTACTCAGATGGTTAGGGCCATTGCCTTTCATATATTGTTGAAAATCTTCCCGATTGGGACAGTTTGGGACCAAAGGATTTAGCTGTGACCTGTGACCCGCCTAATTGAATGAAATAGGTCAGTACTCTCCATTCTGGTATGACATCAAGGAATAGCTTTTGATAATGTTCATGATTCCAATGAATTTCTCATTGTCCCACCTGCCATCATTGCCCAAGAAATTAGCAAGAAAATGCTGAACTAACTTGATATTTCTTGAACTTGGCATTGGCATATGTGTATGAATGAATTGGGAAGTCCAGAGCTTCATCCAAAACAGGTGCCAGTGATTAGGCATCTTGTACTCACTAGCCTGAGAAAACATTGTCTCTGTGATTATGCTATGATGGAAAAAAGAACAAAATTAAAGAAAATTCTGTGCTGCTAATGGCAGACTTCTAAAGCTCAGTTTCCAAGTTGTGTATATAGTCTTAGAATAATCAGAGACTCCTTGGGATGACTGCTGTGTCCACAATAACTGCCTATTTGTAGGCAACTGCATGGGTAAACCCCTGGGTTTTTTACGTATCAGAGACTGTAAGAGGTTAGGGCCGGAAACTGTGAGAAAAAAGGTAGAAGAATGCCAGCGTCGAACGCAGAGCATCTCGAGAGGGAGACAGGAGTGAATCAGGAAGCGACGGGTAAGAAGCACCCTGGCAATCCCTTACCCGTACCCGTACCCGCACGGGTATGGCCTACCCATGCAGTTGCCTACCTATTTGCCTGGTATCTATGCAAATATTTGAAATGGTTTTCCATAAGCTCAGGATACTGGGCGATATATGCACCTGCTTGAACAAGTGCTAAGGGAAAGCAAGCAAGCTCCTATGACTCATGAGAATTCAGACAATAGGCATGTGGTCTGTGTATTTACCTCTGATATCTTAGTAGCTGCCTCAGGATTATAAAATTGAGCAATGCTGGTCAACAATGTGGTGGCCTCAGTAGGTGTTAAGCCAGATACCTCAATTGACCTTCTTTGAGGCCCAGTCAAGATGCTAAGGTGAGAATTCCGAGAGGTAATCAAAATATTGCCATGATTGCATTTTGGCAAATATTTCTGAAGGTCAAGTTCAGGGTCATCAGCATTATCAAAGAGGATTATCCATTGGTGCTGATTTTGTTCAAGCCATACTTTTGCAGCATCCACAGAAGGATGTCCTGTTTTATATTTGATGGCAGCAATATTCCTGTAGCCCTCCATCACAGTATTCTGGCTGGACGCATCAATTGTAAACTTGTCTGTGAATCTGTGCACCAATGTCAAGCCATTTATCAGGCAGTAGCTAAAAAGAAAATTACTTGTCTTCTGAATCCATAATAAATTTCAAGGCTATTTCAGTTTTTCCAACACCTCCTAAACCATGCAAAAGAACAATGATTTGCTTCTTTGTCTCATGGCTCTCTAGAAAGAAATAGCTATGCAGACACTGCAAGGTATCTGCACGACCAACAAAATACTGGGTAGGAGGGGGACATCCATGAAATATGAGTGTTTCCACTAAAAAGGATCAGGCTGTAACCTAAACCATAGGCAAGAACTCACTATAATTATAATGATTATCCAAGCTTTCCTCCAAGTATTCTTGGCCAAGGATCAGGTTGTCTACATAGATCTTTGCTTTGTTCAATCTGTCAATAGTAAGTTGTGCCCCTTCAGCAGCCCCCCCATCTCCTCCAAAGGAGGATCCAAAGCCACCAGGCCCTCCAATACCTCCTGCATTATGGTCAGACTCCAGTGGTTACACTCACAATCTATTACTCACCACCAAGGTTTATTGTAAGCTTTTCTTTCAGTGAAAACCACATTCTGTCGGATAGATGGTTGTGGTAATATGAAGGAAGAAGGCACGGCCTGCACTAGCTAGTAGCATGTCATTTACATACTCATCGCAATATTAAAAACATGCATACAGGTCATGGCCAGTCTCCCGCATGTGAAGAGCATGGGAACTGGCATGCCTTTCTCCCATACATGAGTATGAAGTCATGGTGTGCGTGCGGCCATGGCAGATTAATCCGATCCGAGACTGATACATTTTTTGGACAAATAATTGACTCCAGTCACTCCACCATTCCCATGTCATTCTGCGGATCTGACTCCGGAGTGGCCACGCAATGGCTATGTTTCGATCCAACATGGAAAACTAGAGACATTTTCGACATGCGTTTGGCACGGCCTTGAGTGCTGCGGATGGCACATGCTGGTACCATGCCCTTCCTGCGGAACTCATGATAACAACTGGGGGCTAATTGTGTGCTGCTTAAACGACGACGACAGCAAGCAGGGACCCCGGACAGACCATGATATCCATTTCCAACTAGTAAGCAAATGACGCGAGAAGTTGTTATCTTTTTGTATGTAATGTCATAACCAAATCAATTTAATTCAGAGTCAATGAAATAAATTGCTTATGCGCACAACTTTTTGTTATTATGAGCATCATGAGTATCCTGTCCAGTTGGCCGGAGCCCGAGGCTTGAAAGTTGGCCGACAGCTTACAAATTACCCAAAGCCCTCCAAGTCCTTGAAAATATATAATCTTTCCGACTCCCTAAACCTTGATGTGCCGTGTGAGCGGCGGCCGGCACGGTATATAAGTGTCTAGGGTTCAGCCTGAGAGCTTCATGTAATTTTGTATAGATTTGTTGATTGTTGGGTGATGTCAGACTAATTGAGCGGCTAGGGATACGCGCTAATCGCCTTTTAAAATGCGGCCACCTGGGGGCCCCTCTCTCTGCGCGAGTCGTGCATGCCAGTGGACGCAATGCCCCTCCTGCCTTTCAAGCACAGCTCCAGCTCCAACGGAACCG